CAGAGGTACAACTCAAAAAGCTTGATACTTATACAAAGATAAACAAAAATGTCATTGAATAAAATAGGAAGTTTTAAAAGACCTTTGACTTGTCTGAGAATTATGTGACCACAGACAGACAGACACACACACATATGCATGCATACATGAATTAACAAGAGCTAAAATAGGAAAAATGTTAAATATACTTTTAATGAAAAAATATACAGCCAAAATATGGCACACTCACATAGTGGAATAGTATATGATAATTAAACTATAAATACATGTAATGTTAATTTTAATAACATAATGCTACACAGAAAAAGCCAGATATGACAGGGTATATAGTCTATGTTATCATTTACATAAAGTTCATAAAGCAACAAATTAAGATGTTCTTTAGGAATACATGTCTACATAATAAAATATTAAAAATATTTAAGTGTCATAAAAATCAAAATAATAGAATCATTGGGGGAATATAAGTAGCCATGAAAAAACAAAGTTTAATAGTACTAGCAAATCTTGCTTGATTAGTATTGCATGGGTAAGCTGTCTATAACAATTTGTTAAACTGCATTTTTAAATTTTATTTAATAATTATATTTTAATATTTCATTAAAAACAAGTGTTATGCTACAGTGGCTAATGAGGAAGAATATATCATTATAGCCATATGAAGCATAAATGCATATGTGACTTGTAAACAGATGCTGAATACTAATAGGGGAGTACATTTTAATAATGATGCATACAGATTCTTGCCAGACTTGATATCAGTTAATGCCATTTGCTCCTTAATTATGCATTCATCTAATAAACAAATCTTAATGGCTCACTAATTATACCAGCATATTTGTATAAAACAGCAGCTAGACTAAACATAGAAGGAAATAGCACTTGAGTAAAATAATATTATTTTTGTCAATGTGATATTAAATCTAAATTAACAAAGCAAATAAAATATGCATTATTTTAGTACTCTCTCCATTTAGCAAACCAGAAAAATGGCTAGTAAATACATTTCAAATCTTACATATGAGATTTATAAACAACAAACCATCAGGTTTGATTTTTGTCCAAACCAATTCAAATGGGGCAGGGTGCTTCCTTTACATTTAAAGCAACAAGGTTATATTCAGAAATATACTTTCAAGAATGAGATCCTTTCAAAACAACAACAAAACTATTACAAAGAAAATCACCTTTCTTAAATCCACAGTCACTGGTAAATCATAAAAATTTTCAGAACTTCTTAGAATTTCAGAAATAACACAAAAAAATAAAGTAAGTTTGCATAATGTTATCAACAGCGAATTAGACTTAAGTCTTAGGAGAGCGTACTTATGTGAGTAGTCCTGATATGACTAGAAAGAGGAATGGGAAGGGGAAGAAAGATGAAGGCCTAGGGATGAATAAGGTCAGAGCACATGACACACTTAAATCAAAACATCTTCATAAAACTCTTCAACAGGCCTGGTGGTGGTGGTGCACACTTTTAGGAGGCAGAGGCAGGTGGGTTTCTGAGAGTTCAAAGCCAGACTGGTCTACAGAGCAAGTTTCAGGATAACTAGAGCAGTTACATTGAGAAACCCTGTCTTGAAAAAAAAACAACAACAAAAAAACCAACTCATTAATAAATATGACAAATACACAAAGAAAAATTGGATTATTCTCAGGGAACCTGCTATTTACTTTTCCATTGATCTTCTTTTGTTTTTCATTTACTCTGTTATTTGACAATTTCTTATAGGTACATGATGTAATCCCATTACTTGCTCCGCAATATCCCCTCTTGCCTCACTCTCTTCCCTGCCAGTCCCTTTCCTAGACTCATGGCTTTTGTTTTGTGAATCATTGAGTATAGGCAGGTCCATCAGTGAATGAGTAGATACCGTACTTTAAGATTCCCCTCTTTGGAAATGCTCAACATCCTTAGTCATCAGGGAAATGCAAATCAAAACAACTCTGAGATACCATCTTAAACAGATCAAAATGGCTGAAATCAAAAATACCAATGACAGCTTATGCTGGAGAGGATGTGGAGTAAGGGGAACACTCCTTCATTGCTGGTGGGAGTACAAACTTGTATAGCTGCTGTGGAAATCAGTATGGTGATTTCTCAGAAAATTAGGACTTAACCTACTTTAAGACCCTGTAATACTACTTTTGGGCACATACTCAAAGGAGTCTCACTCATACCACAAGCATATTTGTTCAACTGTATTCATAACAACATTATTTTGTAATAGCCAGATCTTGGAAACAACCTAGATGCCCCTCAACCGAAGAATGGATAAGGAAATGTGATTCATTTACATAATGGAGTACTACTCAGTAGTAACAATGACATCCTAAAATCTGCAGGCAAATGGACAGAACTAGAAAAAAAACATCATGAGTGAGGTAACCCAGAACTAGAAAGACAAATGGAGTATGTACTCACTCATAAGTGGATACCAGACATAAAGCAAAAGATAACCAACCTACACTCCACAACCCCAGAGAAGCTAGAACTCTCTTCCAGAAAGAGACAGAAGCAGACACAGAAATCAATAACTAACCATTGGGCCAACCTCCTGGAGTACAATCAAAGTGAGGGAAGAGTGACAACATGAAGAAAGGAATCAAGACCATGAATGGGAAACCCACAGAATCAGCTAACCCAAGCTAGGGGGGATGTCACTGACTCCAGTCTGACAACTGGGGAACCTGCATACGACTGAACTAGACTCCCTGAATATAAGTGACAATGGTGTAGCTGGGACAATATATGAGGCCACTGGCAGTGGGTTCAAGATCTAATTCTAATGCACAAACTGACTTAGTGGCAGCCATTCTAAATGGAGAGATACCTTGCTTAGCCTAAACATGGGGGGGCGGGGTGTTGCCTTGGTCTTGTCTCAATGAGATGGTGGGACAGACTTAGAAGACCTGCTGGGGGAGGCCTTACCCTCTCCAAGGAGCAGATGGGGGGTGGAGTGGGGATAAGTAGGGGGAGTGGGAGAAGAGGAGGGAGGAGGAGTGGGGAATTGGAATGTAAAAAATAAATAGTTTAAAAATATATTAAAAACAAGGTTATCACCAAAAAAAAAAAAAAAAAAGAGACATTTCCCTCTTTGGTCAAAAGAGCAGCAGTTACAGTTGCAGGTGTAGCACACAGTACCATCTATGAGCCAGACTCAATTTTTTTTCTCTTGTAACTACAGAAAATTTCCCACAAACCACAGATTATGCTACACATGTAATTCATATATTCATAAAATCTACTGTGTTCTTAGGGTCAGTTTAACTTTATCCTTCAAAAGTGCCACTTTCTTTTGATAGCAGAGTTAATGTGTACAAATAATTGAAGACCTGATTATGCTTCTGGCAGGTTCTTTTTTTGTGCCAGCCTTCTCCGAGAAGAGAGTGGGCAGACAGCAAAGAGTATAAATAAGAAGTACTCTGTAAGCTCGGAATTAACAACCTTTAAATGGGATAAAGCCACTTAAAAAGGATCACCGTGAAAGATTGAACTAAAGAGGTTTGAACTCTCAGTAGCAGTGGGATGCTTGTTGAGAGCCATTACAGGGAGAAGTGTTAGAGCTCTAGAAGGGTCTATAGCTCAAAGTTCTCAGGAGGAGGAGGTGTCAGCTGAGAGCAACCCCTTGAAGAGCAAGTCTGCAAATCAGGGGTAGCAAAACACCTTGAAGCCTTGAGCTGTGGGATGAATCCAGGGGTGGGGCCATGGGTCTTGGAGGCTGGTAGCAGCTACAGAGACAAATGTCCTGCTATAGCTATGCTGGAAACCCCCATTGTGAAAATGTCTTCAGTAGACTGGTCTGAGGGCAAGCCTGCCAGGCATTTTTTTTATTGATGTTTGATGTGGGAGGGCCAAGGAGAACAACCCAGTAAGCAAGACCCCCCCCACCCCCGCCATGCTTCAGTTCCTGCCTCAGAGACTTTGATGTGGGAGTGTAAGGTAAATAAACCCTCTTCCCCAAGTTACTTTATGGTGGGGGGGGGGTTTATCACAGCTAATCAAGCTAACAGTCAGGAAGAGCCTGGAGATCAAGAATGAAACAGAAATTAGTCTCTCTATAGGATGGGTACTGGAGGCTAACTCCTAGTCCTCCCTGATGGAGGCAGAGACTTGAGTGTTAAGAGCTTTTCTTGAGTCTGTGCCTTGTGAGTGTTAAAGACAACCTTCGCTCTGTGATGAGCAATCTGGCCAGGATCAAGGTTCTGCAGGCTTCATTCAGGTCCCTCTGGGGCCCAGATCCCTGATGGAGCCAGGAGCTAACTCTGAAACCTTCCCTTCTCTTCTTCCATTGGCTCATGCAACAACTGACCCTGAGGCCCCAGTTCATCAAATTGATAGGGCTGCCAGGGTGCTAGCTTGCCTTGACTGGCTGACGTAAGTATGCAAATAAAATGAAGGGGGAAAAAAAAAAGAATTGATCTAGGCAGAGCTATCAAATGGTAGGGGGAGGGAAAGAACCCCAAGCCAGTCCTCCCCCCAACTAAAAGTGGCCAATCAGGTTCACCAGTCTCTGTCTCCCCGCAGGTACGAAAGAGCCTAAGAAAGTCACTGTCTGTTCTTGGTTGCTATGGTGACCTTGGCAGCCACCTGCTGCTTCTCCCACCCACCCACCAACACTGCTTTGTTCAGCCAGGGATTCAGTGCTGCAGACTCTTTTGTTTCTTTTTGTTTCTTTTTTTCTGAGGCTGATGCTGTACTGCAGCCTACCAGGAGAGGGCTCTGTGGCTCCTTTGCCCCTAAGGTTTGAGCCTCCTGGTCAGGAAGCTCCCTGGAGATTGGGGGTGACAATTCTCCCAACATAATTATGTTTTAATAAAATAATAACGCACAGGATCCTTCTACTAAAAATGGAACTCATTCTTTTCCTTGGCTGTCTGGCCCTTCGGGGGAGGATTTGATGAAGCAGTCCTGTAGCCAGCCATTTCCACCAAATTGAAACATTGCCTCCGTGGGGCGGGGTGGAGCGCTAGAGATTCAGGAAGTAAACCAGACAAATCCGGTGAAAACTGAAACTAAGATTTGCAAGGTCCCCACCCCACCTCCAAGGTCGCAAAAGCAGTCTGGTGAGAAGGGACTCCGATTGGCCAGGAGTGCTATGGGGAGCCGCTGAGGTGCAGATTTCCAGAATCCTCCTACAAATTGAGGTAGGCTTTTCAGAGAAGCAGCTGCCTTTGATCTTGGGTACTCCACTAATCATGCACTCCACAGGGTTCCTGCATTTACCTAGTTGGACTCTGGTGGACTTGAATGCTGCTCTGGTGTCAGTAGTCGATGTCAGCTAAAGTTTTCTAGAAAAGCTCACAGGACAGTCCTGAAGGGTATTCTAGAGTACCTCTCCCATATAGAGAAATGCAAAAGTTCTCCTTGTAACACTGAACCAACAGACCATATGGTAACTGTTTGCTGTAAGGAGAGACCACAGTTATCTAGGCCTTAAAGGGTAAAGGAGGAAAATGGCTAGGCTCTAGAGAACCCCTTAGCTACAGACACATTTAATGCGATTCAAACCACAAAACCCAGCTTTAAACACAGGACTGAAGGTTAAACAGAGGACCTAAACAGCCAAGTCTCTCTGAATAGGAAGCAAAAAGTAGATATAATGTAGGAAAGTAAAAAATACCAGATAAAACTTCAGAGTCCAAATCAGCTGTGACAACTGTACTAGTCATGCTTATCTCTGTAAAGTATTTCTACAGTAACCATCATCACAGGATGAGAAAATTAATGCAGTGTTGTGAGTGCTCATACATTCGTGTCTGCGTGCGTGCATGCATGCGTGTGTGCGTGTCTAGGATAATGTTAATGGGAACCTCAGCAATGCATGGGTTGGGCATTACAATCTCTGGAAGCAGTAAACTTAGACTCAAATTCCAGCTGTACAAATTAGTAATATCATCTGAATAGTTTACTTTCTCTGTGCCCTATTTGTGTCAACTATTTCTTAAAGGAGCTTGAAAATAACTACCTAAGGGAATTGTTCCAAAATGAAGTGACTTAAATTAGAACCAATGGCACGCGCCTAGGACTTTATGGCTTTGTGCAAGTGTGATAGTGTCAGGGAAGGAATGTTTCATATTTTGGGATAGTCTCAACATTCCTTCGTAGAAGATACATACAAAATAAGGCGAAATCATACAGGCATTAAAGAATAATACAGGTTGTATTATGCAGGGAGAATAATACACCCATATTGTACTGTTACTTAATCCATTGAGGAGTAATAGTTAGATAGCCATGGTAACATTAGGTGTCAAGGATGATGCAATCAAGAATGTAATAAAAACTATAGTGAGGGGAGCAGAGCAGAGGAAATCTAAATTCCAAGATCTGAGTTCCTAAGAAAGACTGAGGGCCTCAGATGCAAAAGGAGCCTACTAAACCAACAGGAACAGAGGAGATGTAAAACTACCACACATCACTCACTTAGCTCTCTCTTCTTGTAAAATAGTACCCACCACTAAGAGGAGGAGCCTACTAAACCAACAGGGACAGAGGAGATGTAAAACTACCACACATCACTCACTTAGCTCTCTCTTCTTGTAAAATAGTACCCACCACTAGGAGGAGGAGCCTACTAAACCAACAGGGACAGAGGAGATGTAAAACTACCACACATCACTCACTTAGCTCTCTCTTCTTGTAAAATAGTACCCACCACTAGGAGGAGGAGGCAGGTGCTTGTCTAGGGTAACAGGAGTGGTTCTGTGTGGTTTGGCCTTGCGTATCAATCACGTCCTCGACTTGGGCATGTTCCAAACACATTCTTAGTTCATCCCACCCCACAGTCACAAGCCCCTTCTCTCTCTGCTGCTTCCAACTGCTACAAATTCAGTGCTTTCAGGAAAGAAGTGCGCTTTATTTCTGGCAATAATTTACATATTTGCACACCACCATAATTTTTATATTCCTTTACAAATATAGAATGTATACATCACATAAAATATACGTTAGTATATTATGTGTACTTGGGTGTACGCATGTAGCTTACATTTCCTTGATACAGAAGTTTTCATCCCACAGCACTGGAGAAAACTTCCTACCTGCCTGACAATCAAAATCAAAACTGAGACAAGATTTGCGCAAACGGTAGCCACGCACACCAGCCACACACCCAAGTCTGAAGATCTGTAAAGAAGGGAGCAGAGTGGGTTTGTCAGTACTTCATTGGCATGGGAATGGGAATGTTGGGGTCTTTTCACCTACCTCTACTCACCAGATGCAGATCTGAATCACAGAACGGCTCTGGGATCTCCTGCAGCTGCACTTTAGTTTGGGCTTTTGTAAATATATAGCTTTAATAGATAGACAGATAATCTGAATGCTCAAAAGAAGCTGTGTTTGTGCTCAAAGAAATGCTCGAGCCTGGGTACAAGGACACAGGGTTATAAAGCACTGGTCATTAGCAGAAGTGGCACACATCTGTAATACCCAGCACTTGACAGTGAAGGCACAAGGTGGATAGCCTGGGCTAGGCTACTAGCAAGACTGCTATATCAGAAAAGAAACAAACATAAAAACAACAATTTTTTTTAAAGAAGCCTAAAACTGATCATTGAGATCACTGTAGAGAGAACTGATAGAGGACTAAAGATCTAACCTTACAGAAAAAAAAATCAGCAAATCAAAAGAAGACAAAAGACAGAGAGAGAGAGAGAGAGAGAGAGAGAGAAAGAGAGAGAGAGAGAGAGAGACTCTCCAATAATGATTGGTGGAAACTTAAATATTTCCTGAGCCAGTGTAAGAAATAAATTTCATTAAGACACACAAAGCTAAGAGGGTAAATAGAAATGTATGGACTGAAAGTGTGCCAACCCTTTGACATTGCCAACACCAGTTCTAAGTTTGTTATAAAGCAATTTGTCCATAAATTTATCTATGGCTTTAAAGTTTCCCAAATTCAAATTTTATACTGAAGAATCTACCTATACAATAAAACACTTACCCACTGATTAATCAATTAGCAACAGATGATTATTTAAATCAATATAAACAACAAAATGTACTGGATGTGTATATAAGGGTATGTGTGAATGTGTGCGGTACATAAATTTTTTAAATGAGGAATTTGCATTCAAGATTATATTCTAATTTCTGATACTAAAAATATGTTGCATAAGTTAATTTGGACTCTTTCTCATTACTAACGTAATGAGATTTAACTTTAGCAACTGGGTTACTGGGAATACATAATTAGGTGATTTGCTCTGATGGAATAGTAAATACTCAACCATGTTTATTATGTTAAAATAACCAATTGCTAGCTAAATGTATTTCTAAATTAGTATTTTGCTTCTTCTTCTAAAGACATATAGAGAGGTTGGTCTTTAAGATAAACCAACTGAATTTCAATTCCACCCAGAAAGTGCCTTCGCTTCCTGCTTGACCCCCGCCCGCCCGGACGCAAGTGCCGCGCCGCTCTAAGAACGTCATGTTGTTGCTGGGGAAAGACAAAACTGGCAGAAAGTTCCAGACTATCTGATCGTGTGCATGGCTGAGACAGGAGGTGGCAGTCTAAAAGCCCCGACTTGGTGGTACAGATGAAGTCTCAGGTTACAGTGTGAAGCAGCCAGAAAAGCCGCAGCCCGCCCGAGGAGCCCAGGCAGAAGGGGAAAGCGCCGCGGGTTGCCTGTCGGTGGGGACTGTCCCGGAAACGTGAGAAGGATGAGCACGCTCGGCGGTGGTCCTAAGGACGATGGTGAGGAGAAGGATGAGGAAGTGGGTGAGCACGCTGATACCGAGCAAAAGCCTAAAGGCAAAAAAGAATCGGAGCAGCACGCGAAAAGGGAACCGGACGAAAGGGCCGTCCGCATCCCCATCCCGGAAGTGCTCCAGCAGCGGCTGGCGGACGACTGTTACTACATCAACCGCAGGCGGCGGTTGGTGAGGCTGCCGTGCCAGACCAACGTGGGGGCCATCCTGGAGTGCTACGTGCGCCACTTCTGGGCGAGCGCGCTGGTCTCGGGGGATCGCCGGCCGCAGCCCCAGCGAGCGGCGCCCGAGAGGAGCGTGGGCCTCTGCAGGGAGATGGCGGACGGGCTGCGCATCACCTTCGACCACGCGCTCCCCTTGGTGCTGCTCTACCCGCAGGAACAGGCACAGTATGAAATGGTGACCTCCTCCACCTTTTTCTTTCCGACGGAGGAAAAAGCCACCGATACGGGCAGGAGCCAGGAGGCGCCCTGGCCGGGCCCATCCACCCCGCCGCCCTCCGAGAGCCAGCCCGTGGCGGGGCCCGCCGCCCCCAAGAGGCGCAAAGCGGAGGCGGAAACCCCGCGGGCTCCCAGGCGGTCCATGCGACACACCGCCCACGGCCACTGGCAGCCTGAGGACCGGGCCTCGCCTCAGGCCAAGCGCAGTGTGCCCAAGCTGTTCCCGCACTTGCAAAAGACACCTGTGCACGGCACCTCCCCCTCCCCCATTTCTCTGACCCCAGGGAAGGAAGGGAGTGCTATGTTTGCAGGTTTTGAAGGGTCCACTGAGGAAATGAATGAGGTCCTCTCCTGGAAGCTTGTGCCTGACAATTACCCGCCGGGACACCAGCCACCTCCCCCCTCATACATTTATGGCGCACAACATTTACTGCGATTGTTTGTAAAACTTCCTGAGATTCTTGGGAAGATGTCCTTTTCTGAGAAGAACCTGAAAGCGTTACTGAAGCACTTGGATCTCTTTCTGAGGTTTTTGGCAGAATACCAGGCTGACTTCTTCCTGGAGTCGGCTTATGTGTCAGCCTGTGAGGCCCACTATAGCAGCAAGAACCCCAGGACAATCTGTTAAGTTTTGATAGCTCTGTAAGCACAGCTGCCCCACCTGGCTAGGTGTTTTCCTTTCTAGGTGGGCCCATCCTGGGGGAGGAGGGGCTCAAGAGAGAGGGTTAGGCTTGGGTATTTGAGTTGTTCACATACTGTTGTAGAGGTTTTTTTGTTAAGAATTACTTCCTGAGCTATGTGGTTGTCATGCCTGTAGAGACATAAAGTTGCCTAATTAGTTAATTTAAAACAATACATGCTATTGCACAGGCTATTGTGTTCAGAGGGGACATTCATGAAAGTACATACTTTAGGCTGTTCTGATAGATATCACAGTAGGTTGTTGACAAGAACCACATTGTTTAGATATTAGCCCTAAAATGTGTTTGAAGACTCTTCTAATGTGATGAGACTAGAGAACTCTGTTCAGCACATGTGAGTTCATATTTGGACATACGATCATCTCAAAATAGTTTGGGGAAAAATCAACACTGACAGCAAAGGAGAACTTGCAACAACAGAATTTGTAACTGTTCCCTTTCTGTGAAACATTATTCTTGGTGATCTAAATAAAGCAATTTTTGTCTTGTTTGAAAAAAAAGTTATTCATAAAACTTCACTATTCTCATACAAAATTTACTATTGGTGGATAAGTGTAAAATCAAAAGAGAAAGCTGTTGCACAAAGTAGGTTCCTTAGTTTTGAAGAAAACTGACAATACAGTCTCAATGAGTGCAAAGGAAACAGAAGGCTTTGGAGAATTACATTTACATTTTAAACTATACTAAGTTTATATATTTAAGAATTACTATAGACGATGTAAACTCTCAAAAGCATACAGATTAAAACAATTTGTAATCTGATATAATGAACAGAGTTAATACTGAATGATGCTGTATTTTTGTTGTTGTTTGTTTTTTCAGACAGGGTTTCTCTGTGTAGCCCTGGCTATTCTGGAACTCACTCAGATCCACCTGCCTCTCTCCCTCTAGAGTGCTGGGATTAAAGGCATGTGTGTGGCCACTGCAAACAGATGCTGTAATTTTTTTTAATCCATGAAATAAGCAGTTTTTACGTTGAAATAAAACATCCTAAGAAAAATACATTTCTCTAAATACTTAGATGGCTAGGAAAACTAAACTGCTAAACTTTTGGAATGATTAAAGTATTCAAATAATTCTTTAAATTAACCAGTAGATTGTGCAAATAAATGTTAAATGCTTGACAATGGAGTAGACAAGAAAACTTGAGAATTACTCAGTGTGGGGAGCAACCATAAAGATAGAGGTCACAGGAAAGGTGCTCGGAAGCTGATGTGCATAAATGCCCAAGCTTTACCCTTCAGGACGGCCACACTATGTGTGTAGGGAAAGGATGACAGTGCTCAAAGCATTAGAAACCAGCACAGAGCCTGTAAGGAGCACTGTGCTTCCCAGAGATAAGGAGTGTGCCTTCCCCAGAGTCTTATAGCTCAACAAACATGAAATGATTGGCATACACAGGAAAAGGGGGTACAGACTGTAGGAAGCCCTCCAAAGGTGTCCAGCTCTGGTTTTCAACATGAGAAAAGGGAAGGGAGGCTTAATATCAATATTTCTTTTCTGAAATAATTATCTCACTATTTTCGTAACGTAAGAACCCTCCTCGGAAGACACTAGGGTTGGAGAGAGTAATTGCCACATCATAATTCCTCGTCAGTGGTTACCCTCTTGTGTCACACAGCTCTTAGGAATTGAATAACCTGGAGCAGGGTACACAAAGTGGTAGTTTTTTGACTATCTTATGTGTATGGATGTTTTGCCTGTATGTATGTCTCCGTACCATGTGCATGCCTGGTGCCCAAGACAGCATTGGGTTCCCAGGACCCAGAGATACAAATGGTTGTGATCTGTAATCTGCCATGTTGGTGCTGGGTACTGAACCCTGGTCCTACGGAAGGAAGAACAGCAAGTGCTCTTAACCAATTAGCTATATCTCTCCAGCCTCCAAAATGGAAATTTTGAAATTACAAATATTCACTCAGGAGACTGAGGCAGGTGGATCCCTGGTGAGTTTGGGACTAACTAGCCTGGTCTACATAGAGACACTCTGTCTCACCTTAACATATATAAAAGGCACTATACTGAGAAACTCAAAATCAGCTTATTGTCTCTCTTGGGGTAAAGAGGAGAGGATGGTGTCTGATTCATGATGACAGGTTCAGAATTAGGCAAAGCAGCTAACTTCTAACATAGACGTAGGCTAGAGGCTCACAGTAGGTGTGGTTTGAGTGCATTGCTCCAGAATTCATTTTGTAGACAGTCGATAAGTGGTAGAGCTTTTAACAGGTGGAGCCCAGAGTAAGGTGAAGAGGTCAATGGGATGTCACCTTCAAATCTGGGTTCCCTATGGGCCCATTTCAGTTCCCAATAAGGCCCTAGTTAGTTTTATTACAAGACCCTAACTGTAATAAGAAGAGGAAAACTGATTCAGGACCCACCCCCGCCCAGCTTCCCACCCTGCCAAATGAGCTCTGCCTTCTGGGCACAATGGGTCCTTTTCTGTTTCTCCTTCATCTTATAGCACGGTGAGGAGCTGTGGCTTGGACACCAACACCATACGGTTCAGACCTTCCAGCCATAAGAGTTATGAAGCAAATAGAGCACTTCATAATTACCCTGCCTCGGGGATTTTGTTATAACAACATAAAACAGACTAAGACCGACAGGGACAAGAGATGTGGGAGGCCAAAGGCAGCATTAATGTCTTCATCATTCACAGTAGAGTCAATCAAATCTGCCTGAAAATGAAATAGAATGCTCAAATCTCTTGAAGGGTTTTTACATAATTTTCCTTCTTAACCTTACAGGGATCCTGAGGAAAGTACTTACTGAAGTGAAAAAAAGAAAAGTTATTTGAAATTCAGCAATTCCTTCCATCTCACTAGGGTGTCTTTTCCTTCCTGTAGAATTCATTTAGAATTTAAAGTGGCACTCTTGACTCCATCTTCATAACTGAATTTATTTGTGTGTATGCATCCTACTGTCTGCACATACACAGTGATGTCTAGACTAATTTTCTTCAATGTTAATAATGACACTGTGAATTAAGAATAATTTCACTTAATTTATTATACTTAATTTCCCATCTTGCTTAATTTAGTCATAATAAGATAAATTACTGTTTGAAAAACAATGAAAAGATAAAATGACTTTCAGACATAAGCAACTAAGGAGATGGATGAGGCCCTTAACGAGACTGAAACCAGATTCGCTTTGTTTGTTTTTATGGGGGGAAGAAGGGATCCCAGAGTTCAATTTTGATATACTGAAGTTTTTGACACCTGAGAAATTGTGAAATGAGACTTCAAAGGGCCAAATGTGATACCAACTAAAAACAGAGTATCTGGGGTGGGGGTGGCAGTGGCATGGCCCAGGACCAAATCCACAGTATTACATTCAGAGAGTCTTCTCTGTGAAAGATGCTGAAGTTACAACTAAACAAGCATGCAGTGTCACAGAAACAAAATATATTCTTTGGTTTTGTTTTGTTTTGATTTTTGAGACAGAGTCTGAGATAGGTCACTCTAGCCTGGAACTCACTATGTAGCCAAGGATAACCTTAAACAACTCTTGATTCTCCTGCTACCCCTTCTCAAATGCTGAAGTTACAGACCTGAGTCAGCATGCCCAGCCACAAAGACAATTTTTTTCTACAGAAAGGAAAAGATATCCCACTGTTTCAAATGCTAATGAAAGTTACAACAGGATGAGACTCAGGCAAAAAAGGATACACTAGAATCATTAACACGGGAATTATCTTGGTCTTGAAACATGGGATACACAGCTCTGAGAGGCTGCAAACGCAAAGCCAACTAGAAGCTGACCAAAAAGAAAACAGAGTGCAGTGAGGTGGGGGATGAGAGAGCACGGCTTCAGGGAGAAGGGAGGGCCAGGGCAGCAGCTTTGACTGTTCAGTGTTGTCTCGGTGTGAGGTGGCATGTTTGGAGACATTTCCACTCTACTAAGAATGGTCCAGGATGACACAGTAGGCTGGAAGGAGCACCGACCGGGGCTAATCAAAGAAGCAATCTTCTTGAGTAAGAGAGAATTACAGTGTGAGATCTCTTAGGCTATCTTAGCAAATTAGACTTCAGAGTTCCAAGCAGCATTCGATGCTGTGGAAATGTGATAAGCCATAAGCCACATTTCACTAAGCCTCTTATTAGCCTCATGGAAGTGTTTAGACCCAAGTTCTTTCAAAATTACCAGTAATGCTATTCATAGAGTTCTCAAGCAGAGAAAAATAAAGGCACAGATAAGCAACACAAGTCAGACACACGTACGAGGCTGTATCCTGAAGAGGATGGCATGCCCTGATTGTAAGAAGGAAAGACCCAGGTAAAGTTCCAAAACCACCCAATGCGATGCTAGGATCTATTGCCGTGAGACCTCCTGAACAATAAATAGCAGACTGAAATGACTTCAATATTTCCATCAAAAGTTCAACAGAGTGAGGCAATGAGGAAACTTCAAAATACAATAAAAATTATTACTATGATGGTTAACATTCATTGTCAACTTGGCAGGCTCTAGAATCACTCAAGAGATGAGCCTCTGAGCATGTCTGGGAAGGGATTTCCTGACGAGGTTCATTGAGCTAGGAAGACTCCTCCTCAACGTGGGCAGCACCTTCCCATAGGCTGGAGGCCTTGGACTCCTTGGCTGTTTAGTTACACCCAAGGAGAAAACTAATGAGTAGAATTATGAGAAAACAAAACAAAACGAAACGGAAAACAGTGTCAAAAAGAGCTGGAGAGACGGCACAGTGCTGGAGAGCACTCAGTACCCTTGCAGAGGACCCACTCCCGGGTGCTCACATCACCTGAAGTGCCGGTTCCTAGGAATGTGACACTGTCACTTAGCCTCTGTAAGCAACTGCTCACGTGTGGTATACATAAATTCATGCAGGTGTGTGCACACAGGCACACACACAAATAATTTTAATGTTTAAAAAAGCGAAACACTAATCTTAAAAAAAACTGTCAAAAAGCCCAAAGTTAACATGCAGACTTTACTACGGAAAGTACTTTCCTCTGCAGTACGCAGAGTGATGTAAGTAGGAATGCAGCTCCACCACCTACAAGTACACAGTCCCAAGGGCCCAGGGTGCAAACTGTGAGAGGGTACCAACATACCTGTCAGCAGTGGGATGATAGTATAGCAAGATAGATAATTTTCTTTCTACAAGACAGATACTTCCATTTGTACAGTGTAAGAAATGACACAGAAAATACTTATTGTAGGCTTTTTTATATATTATTTTATATAACTTAACAAAATTATAGTCATTTTCCCTTAAGAACAGTTGAAAAAAATAAAATGCAAAAGAAATGTAAGGTGGCAGGAGAGGGAATGAGGAAAGACTGGGGGTATAGTTTAGCAGATGAAGTCTCTTGCCACCAAGCCTGATTATCTGAGTTCCATCCCCCAGAATCCATATGGTGAAAGAGAGCCAACTTATAGACATTGTACCCTGACCTGTACACATATGTTATAGTGTGTACGTGCACATACTAAATAAATAAATGTAAAAATTAAAAGGAATATACAAGGGAGAATTTACTTGTATATAACAATAAGAAAAAATCTACTTTCATTTATTCAAAAGTCAAAAGAAGAGAATTCTATTGAATTTTTTAAATCTATAATCCCCTGATGCTTCTTGCTATGTGGTATCTCTAATGTCATAAACTGATGATTGAAATTTAACGTGAAAGCACGTTTTGAGATAAAGGATATAATATCCAAAAAACTGTAATACTGACAGCTTAATCCAGTTGCCTTTCAAACCAGTGGTCTCTAGGTGGGAAAGCAAGCTACAAACGTTTCTACAGATGAGCAAAATCCTGAGAATTCCCTGCCAAACCTGCATTGTTCCCTATTTCAGCACACTAACTAAAATATCAAGGAACATGAACTCAACCAATCTTAAAACCCAAGAAAAGTAGGACAATTAATGATCAGTACCAAGAAGCAAAATCTAGGCTTTGAGATCAACCATCCATGTCTGGTCCTATTTCAAGGCTTTATAGGGTCTAATTATAAACCAGCCCAGAGAATCTTCATGAGACTTCAATGAAAGTAGTCCTCACTGTGCCCCTACACACTGAGCAAAGGAGACAGCTGCTACCCATGCAGAACATACATTCAAAGGCTACAGTATCACAACTTAAGCATCATAATTTTCTTTACTATAATGCTATAGAGTGACAGACTATCTTTAAATATTATTTTCACGTTAACCCATTTAAGCACTTTTTGGAAGTGTATAAGATAGGGCTGCACAGGCAACTCAGTGGACAGAGTACAAACATGAGGACTTGAGCGTGCTCCCAAGTACACACGTAAAAGTTACACACTCTTCTGTAACCGCAGTGCAGGCAGGCAGAGCTAGGCAGATTCCTCTGTGCTCACTGACCAAGCAGTATATCTCAACCTGTGAGCTCCTGGTTCACTGACATGCCCTGTCTCAAAACAATGAGAAAGCAACCGAGGAAGAAATCTGACATCAAACTCTGGCCTCCATGTGCACACATATTACCTTCCACACATGTGTGTGTATGTATGTATATATGTATATATTATATATTCACAGAAAATGTATATAGAACAATGCTTAATCTCAGTAGTTTGTAAAATATGCTTAAAACTTGGTAGCTTACCTTAGACCAAAGATGTGTGATTGCTCATAATTCAGTAAAGAACGAATCTTAGCTTCAGAGTTCAAAATGATAAGCCTATCGATTACATCCTAAAAATAACAAAGAAACAACTGAGACTCAACAGAAGCTATTACAATAAATTAGATAAATATTTATCTAAATGAGCCTAAGATTTGGATTCAGACTGGAATTGCTGGAAGCCATAAGATGTTGGGGGCAAAGATGTCTAGACCCACCCTAGAGTTTGTGAACTTACTGGTCTAGGTGAGGCCAGAGCGTTATGATTTGGGACGGTTTCTAAACTCAGTTCAATGTTCATCCCAAGTGGAGAACCAGAATATACACCTAACTGTCGGAAGCAGCAAGCAGGTTGTATGTACAATAAAATAAAGATAAAAGTGCCCAAGGTACAAACTACTCTTAAAAGCAAATATAAAATCTACAAATGTGAAGCAATAACAGTTGATATGAATATTTTTATCTAGTAACTACTTAAGGCTATGTTAATAGCCTTTCTAGTTTGTATGAATAAGTGGTTTAGAATCCTGGAAAAAATATTATCATCATCTAGGAAACGAAGACAGATGACTGACAAATACATGATTGATAGACAAAAGAGCAGACAAATAGACAAATTGCTCCACTTAAAAGCAATTAAGACAGTGTCAGGGTCCTCTGGCCATCAACCAGATACGGCTGCCTCATGTACTCATAAGAGAAGACATGACTCAACCCTCATACTGAGTATGTGACTCTGGACCACCCTGCTACCTCTGCTAAATTCCAGAAACAGACCTGTAGCTTAATTAGCAGTTAAAGATTAGCTCAACAGAAAGCCCCCAATTCCATTAGGGGAGGACATCGGAAAGATTGAGCTAGATAAGTAAGAACCTTTGGTCAGGTTACCTAGCAACATAGGATGTTCGACCCCCGACCTTTGCCCTGCGAATTAGGTTTCCAGGCAGCACAGAGGGTTACCTCTCCAACTGACCTTTGCTCCACCAGGCTCACTGCAGCTGCAGCACACCCCCATTCCCTCTCCTCCTCCCTTCACCTATATAAATCCCTTTGGGATGAAATACAGTTGTCGCCTTGATCAGACTCCTCCTATCTTGGTGTCCATTCTTGTATCCTCTGTCCTCCATCTTTCTCCTAGGTATCTACCAGATCCTCGTTGAATGTCCTTTGGGTCGGGACAAGACAATATGTCTACAGGTGAGATTCCAGCATTAATATTCTTCAAGTTCCTTTAGATTTCCCATTATGTAGTCATCTCTCACACTGGGAGCAACAAGCAGTCTCACGCACTGACAGCATTAGTTCACCACACAATTTTCTCTGTGTCAATAGAGCCATGTCTAAAAGCTTTTCTTTAAAGCCCTGCTTTTTGCCTGATGGCATGACCTATACTGCATAATCCTAGGACTCAAGAGGTAAAGGTTGAAAGGCTGCCTTGAGTTTGAGACCAATCTGGGCTACTGTGTGAGACTATATCTCAAAAAAAAAAACAAAAAAGAGCAAATAAGTGAAATGATTAAAAACAAAACAGAAAGCCCTGTTTTTTGTGTATAACTTGAGTACAAATCTAAAAACTTTCTTTCTATATAAATTCATCAATGGATTTCAAAAGAACATATTACTGTGGCGAATAGGGCAAAAGGTTTAGGTGAGGAACAAAGTCAAATAAAATATATTGATACTTTATGAATGATGACAAGAAACCAATTCCACCACATGAATAAGAGGTAAGGGAATGGATTTATAAGAGGAAGAAGTAATAAATAATTCAAAGTACATTTGAGAAATACTACTATGAACACAATAAAAATGGACAGAGTAAACTTATCCTAGACTGCATACACTGAGCTAGGGATGTAGCACAGTTGGTAGAGCATCTGCCTAGCATGCACATGGCCCTGGTTTGATTCTTAGCACAACAAAATCTAGGTATGGTGGCTCGTGCCTGTAATCCCTGCACTAAGGAGGTGGAGGTAAGAGGATCAGAAGTTCAAGGACATCCATGGCAAGTTGGAGACCAGTCTGGACTACATGAGAACCTACCTCATATATATGTCTATGTATATTATCTCATATATACTATATATATAAAACAAATATTCTATAGGAATGTGTAGTAACTAATACATAAGTTTAAATCAGAAATATGAATGAATAATACAGAGCAAAAAGACTCATTGTGATAAAGCTCTGTCACTGTAGTCATTTTAGCTGGGCACTCTGTTCCAATCATCATGTAAGTGTCTTCATCACTTAGCACAAATTTGCGCAGTGATCTAAATACAAAGCTAAGCATATTGATGGCTGGTGACACCTGGGAGATCTGAAGTTCTGGATCTGAATCTAAGAAGTAGGCTACATCGAATAAAATGATGGCAGGATATGGTATTGCCAACAGGCTGGTGGAAAGAGAGACTGAAATAATCCATCAGTGATAACATATTTTCAGAGAACAAATGCTGTAGCATCACGCAGGGAAGAAAGCAGAGCTCCCAGGACACCTGCTTCATGGAGGGAGAGCTCTGGTTTCTAAGCACCACAGTGCCTCCAGAAAGGAATCAACCTCTTAAAGCAGACTAAGCCAGCAACCAGCTGGGGAAGGGCTGGAGCTAGCAAACAGTCTGCAGAAATCCCATTTCAAAACAGACTGTCCGTGTTGAGAATATGTTCAGAAAGCTAGTGGTCAGCCTAAAGCCAGGGCTAGGTAACCAAAGAGAAATTCAGTATAAGTACTGTTGTAAAGTATCTTTTTAACTAGACATTTGTTTATGCTGCAGAATATTACTTTAACTGTGTAAAGGTGTGTTACATTTGTTTATGCTGTATTTGTTTAATGATGTAAGGATGTGTGTTTAATTATAAAAAGGTCTGTTGCATCTGTTTCGCCTTCCCTGTCTAAGGCACCTGATTGGTCTAAAAGGAGCTGAAAGGCCAGTGGTTAGGAAAGAGACGTATACGTGGAACTGCCAGACAAGAGACAGTAAATAGAAGAACTCTGGGCTCAGGAAGAATGAGAGGAGGAGGAAGAGAGACTGAGTGACACTCCTGGGGCAAGAAGCCAGCCAGCCAGCCATTGAAGCAGTAAAAGTAGAATATACAGAAGTAAGAAAGTTAATAAGCCCTAAGGCAAAAGGTAGATAAAGAGAAACAGGCTAATTCTAAGGCCAAGCATTCAAAACTAATAATAAGTCTCTGTGTCATGATTTGGGAGCTAATTGGTGGCCCAGAAGAAAAAGCATGGTAAAAAGTAGACACTCATCTGAGGGCCCACTCTATTCAAGTAGTTCAGTAGTCATACACATGCTATCTTGCTGCTTTTAGGAAATGAGAAGATACAGGGTAAGGAATATGTCAATAAACCCCTACAACTGTACCTTGCAAGAGTAAATTGCCTTCGTTAGCCTATGATGAAAATGAATCCAGTCAAGGTCCTTCCTTGGGACTTTTCATTAGGGGAACTAGAGAAAAAGGTCACTACCCTATACAATGAGTTAAATACCAACTTTCTAAAAGTCTTTCTGTGTCGTAATCCCCAGAACTTGGATGTCACCCTGTTTGAAAAAGGGGCCTTTAAAGCACGAAATAAATTAAAAATCTTAATCATCTTAGGTCATCCAGAAGGATCTTTTTTTTTTTTTTTTTTTTTTTTTTGGTTTTTCGAGACAGGGTTTCTCTGTGGCTTTGGAGGCTGTCCTGGAACTCGCTTTGTAGTCCAGGCTGGTCTCGAACTCACAGAGATCCGCCTGCCTCTGCCTCTCGAGTGCTGGGATTAAAGGCGTGCGCCACCAACGCCCGGCTCATCCAGAAGGATCTTTACAATCCAAGACAAATATCCTTACAAGAGAAACAGAGGAAGATTTCAGTCAGGAAGAGTTGATGGTCATGTAAAGATGATTAGGCATGTCAAGAATTGGAGTCAGACTGCAACCAGGCATGAAATACCTAAAATATATTTATATGATAGAGAGATGATAGACAGAAGATTAATAGATGACAGATACAGAGAGATGGATAGATAACAGTTAGATAGATGATGGAGGATAGATAAGTAGAAGATAGACAAATGTATAGATAATTTCAATAGAATTATGATACACGGGGTGATAATGTTTCTCCCCAAAGCCACTGACTATGTGACAAAACCCTAGTGCCAGGCACTGTAAACCATTCCTTTAGGTTGTTGGTCAGGTAGTCCAAGAGATCCCAAGAACAATGTAGGCTTTTGTAGTTGTCCTTAGTTGCCTCCCAGAATTTTAAGGTTAAGACCCTGACCACATGACATTCTTTGGACACGGGAGAGGGAGGAACTGAGCTGCCACTGATTTGTAAGTCTGTACCCTAAGGACATATATCGGAAAGAGCTATGCAAGCTGCCACGAGAGAAAAGAACCCCACAGTTCTCATTAGCTGTGTAGCCGATGAGCCACAACAAGGACTAGCCTGGCAAAAAATCCTCATTGGTGCAACAGTGGCACTTCTATCTTGTGAGTGGCCAACAACTGCCTAACTTGATGTAAGGCCTGCTTAACAGGGTGATATTCATGCCTGATACTGCAAATCTACCCAACTACTCTTGGCTGGAAATATCATAGACTGCATAAGAGAATCTGTAATTGTCAGTTTCCTATGCTAATATAATTTCTAACTGTATTCTAAATACTTGTCCTTATACCCACAGACAACTGTAGCTCTCACTCCATACTGAAGAAGCTTCTTTCTGAGCAGATGGTGACTATGGCAGAGTTCCATGACAGATCAAAATGCAGAGAACAATGCGAACCCTAGACCTAGGGCTCAAGGAAAAAGGCAGGAGAGGGGACAAAGATATTTCATAACCAGAGACCAAGGCTATCTTCTGGCCTCGATAGAGAAGTTGCACCCATGAAACTTCAACAATATGGTTGTGGAAACAAAACCTGAACAATGACACCACCAGTCAACAGGACAAAGTGGATGAGAAAAAATTTACAAGGACCCACTCCTAGGTGAAGAGTACTACAATCAATGGCTGCTGAAAGGGAGAGAGTCGGATTTCTCCAGGGAAATCTCCCTAATACATTATTGTGCTGGACAGTTTTAGGTCAACTTGCAAGTCCTCTGTGAGGAGGGAACCTCAATTAAGAAAATGCTTCCATAAGGCAGGGGTGTAGGCAAGCATGCAGGGCATTTTCTTAATTAGTGATTGATGAGGGAGGGGCCACCCATTGTGGGTGTGCCTCGGGTGGGGTTGTGATCCTGTAGCTTGTGCTATAAGAAAGCAGGCTGAGCAAACCACACAGAATGAGCAGCACCCATCCACGGCCTCTGAGCAGCTCCTGCAATACTAAATAGTCTCAGTGGTGTGTGTGTGTGTGTGTGTGTGTGTGTGTGTGTAACAGTAATAAAAAAGAGAGGGAGTGGGGGACATAGGAAAAGTCTAAAGAAGGAATAAGGTAAAAATAATGTGCATTTAGTAATGCTCAAATAAAAAAAAAACCCTAAATTAAAAAGTGCAAAAGTAAAAAAGTCAATGGCCGTCCTGCCTAGATCACTGAGAAGGGAGTTTGGTTTTGATGACACCTTTAGTTACTTCTGTCCACAAACCTCAAGTTTCTTCTTACCTTCTTTCTGAGTCTGAAAAAGACATTTAGCACACATTTGCTCTACTAAGAAATTTTAAGTATATAATACAGTATTATTCATTATAAGCATTATGTTATACAATAAATCTTTAGGATATTTTCCTGTGTAATCAAAACCTTGTCCATGTAACTAGGAGTTGGTTCTTTTGCCTTCTTGTCCCACCTCTGTCCTGATGACTAAAACCTTACTCTCTGATTCTAAACTACTAGGACTATTTTAGAGTCACCACATTAGTGTGTCACATAGTATTTGTGCTTCAGTATCTGTATAACCCTTAGCACAGTGCCCTCTTTTGGTAGACAAAATCAGTATCTAACCCATTCAAAGTCACTCACTAGTCAAGCAGCAGAATAAGAAAGCTAACTAACTATAAAGCACATAAGCAATGAGATAAAACTGAGCACAAGAAGATGGGATTGGAATAATTTAAGAAAATAAATGACTCCAGATTCTTCTTTTTTCAGTTGAGAAAGCTTTTATTTTTTTTAATTTAAAAATGCTTTTGAAAGCCAGGCAGTGGTGGTGCACACACCTTTAATCAGGCGGCAGAGGCAAGTGATCTCTGTGAGTTCGAGGCCAGCCTGGTTTAAAAGAATCAGTTCCAGGACAGCTAGGACTACACAGAGAAAACCTGCCTTGAAAAACAAAACAACAACAACAAAAAAAATGTTTTTGAAATAAGTTCTTGTTATGGAGCCTAGTCTGGCATCAAATTCTAGAACAGATTTTTTTTAATTTAATTTAAATTAGAAACAAGTTTGCTTCACATGTCAATCCTAGCTCCCTCTCCCTCCCCTCCTGACCCCCTTCAACCCTCTCCCCACCCCTCCCTAAGTCCCCACTCCACTCTCCAAGGAGGGTGAGGCCCTTCTTGGGGGATCTAGAAAGTCTGTCATATGATCTGGGGCAGGCCCTAGGCCCTCCCCCGATGTGTCCAGGCGAAGACAGCAAGCCTTCACAAGGAATGGACTCCCAAAGTCCATCTAGATGACAGGGCTAAATGCTGATTTATTGCCTGAGGCCCCAAAGGATGCTGAGGCCTCCTCACTGACCCCCACGTTCAGGGGGTCTAGATCAGTCTCATGCTGGCCTCTCAGCTATCAGTCTGGGGTCTATGGGCTCTCCCTTGTTCAGGTCAGCTGATTCTGTGGGTTTCACCCGCCAAGTCGTAACCCCTCTGCTCATCATTCCTCACTCTCTGCAACTGGGTTCCAGGGGTTCAGTTCAGTGTTTAGCTGTGGGTATCTGCCTCTGCTTCCTTCAGCCACTGGATGAAGGCTCTAGGATGGCACACAAGGAAGTCGTCAATCACGTTATAGGGAAGGGCATTTAAGGTGGCCTCTCCACTATTGGTTAGATTACTAGTTGGTGTCATCCTTATAGGCCTCTGGACATCTCACTAGTACCAGATCTCTCTTCAAACCTATAATGGCTCCTCCTATTATGGTATCTCTCATCCTTCTCTCCTCTATTCTTCCCCCTACTCAACTTAAGGGTTTAATGAGAGACATATCTATCTTTACATTTTACTTCAAAATAGTTCCCAAAACTTTCCCATGATAGAAAACAATTTTAAAATTCCAATGTTTGGAATTAACAAAGGTGAAAAGAATGCAAAAAGGACAAAGCCATTTCTAAAAACCAGTAATACCTAAGACAGACAGACAAGGAAAAATTAATGTTTAGAAATAGAATTTCGCTGGGTGTTGATGGCATATGCCTTTAATCCCAGGACTCGAGAGACAGAGGTAGGCAGATCTCTGTGAGTTCGAGACCAGCCTGGTCTATAAGAGCTAGTTACAGGACAGCCTCCAAAGTCACAGAAAAACCCTGTCTCGAAAAACCAAAAGAAAGAAAGAAATAGAATTTCAGTATTAAGTAATTCTTTATTAATCCTTGTGTATGTGTGTTCATGCACACATGTATATATTTGTGTTTAATACACTCAAAGATAATGAACTACATCCCCTTTAATTGTTAAATCAAATTAATAATATGAGCAATTTTGAATATAAATTAAGTTTCAAATTAAATAAATATGCAAATTCTGGCCTCATGGACATAATACATAATTCATCAGAACATAGGTTGAAAAAATACTGGATGCTTTAGATATAATTTATTCTTAATTATCCTAGTGTCCTGGAATATTAGTTTGGGGTGTGTTACATTTGTTTATACCACGGAACATTTGTTTAGTTGTCGGGCTCCAGTTCATATTGGCTCAAGGTCAGAGAGTTCAAAACTGTGCTTAGTTAAGTCATAAGACCTAAAGGTCTAAGGTATGGCTACTGTAGGATGTTTTAATCTTGGTAGAGGATGTCTTATCTAAATAACAACAAACTTGATCTGAGGTGTGGTTACTATTGAGTCTAAGGTGTGGTCAAATGTTTGGAGGATTAAGGGAAGAAAGTCTGTTTGTTTCATATAAATGATAATGGAAGTCTTCTGCCTTGTCCCCCTTTTGGTTGGGGTACTTAAGAAACGTTGGAGAAACTTGGGGGAATTCAGTATTCACTGGATTGCTCTCTGACTCTATCCTGTGTCTCTGTCTTTTTCCCAGCAGTTTAACCTGTCATTTCACAATCCACACTCCCCCTCTCAGGCACAAACACAGGTTAATACAGACTGGTGCCACAAAGACGGGTTAAGGCATTAATGATGTAAAAATGTGTTGCATTCTTTTATGTTGCATTTGTTTAACTCTGTGAAGCTGTGATACTTTGCCTGTCTAAAAACACCTGAATAAAGAGCTGAATGGTCAATAATGAGGCAGGATAGGCAGGGCTGGCAGGCAGGGAGAATAACTAGAAAAAAAAATTGGAGAAGGGAGAACAAGGAATGAAAAAGACGAAGGAGCAAGAGAAAAAGGAGGAGGACTCAAGGGGCCAGCCACACACCCAGACACAGAATAAGAAGGAAAGAAAAGATATACAGAAACAGAGAAAGACAAAAGCCCAGAGGCAAAAGATAGATGTGATAATTTAAGAAAAGATGGCTAACCGAACTCTTAGAATCCAGTTGTAGAGATGGAGGAGTGATGAGCAAAGGGGTCAAGAGCAGGTTGAGGAAACCCACAGAAACATCTGACTTGAACAAGGGGAGCAAATGGTCCCCAGATTGACAGCTGGGAAGCCAGCATAGGACAAAACCAGGCCCCCTGAATATGGGTGTCAGTTAGGAGGTCTGGGCAGTCTATGGGGCCTCTGGTAGTGGATCAGTATTTACCCCTTATGTACAAATGGACTTTGGGAGCCCATTCCACGTAGAGGGATACTCTCTCAGCCTACACACATGGGAGTGGACCTACCTCCCCAAATGATGTGACAGACTTTGATGATCCCCCATGGAGGGCCTCACTCCTCCCTGGGGAGCAGAAGGGGGATGGGTTGGGGAGGTTAGTAGGGGACATGGGAGGATGGGAGGGAGAGGGAACTGGGATCGATATGTAAAATAGGATTGTTTTTAATTTAAATTATAATTTAATTTAAATTAAAAAATATAGGGGAAAAAAGAACAGCAATGGAGCAAAAAAAAAAAAAAGAGATGGCAAATATTGATGGTGCACAACTTTAATCGCAGCACTTGGGAGACAGAGGCAGGAAGATCTCTGTGAGTTTGAGGACAGCCTGGTCTACAGAGCAAGTTCCAGGACATGCTCCAAAGCTACAGTGAAACCCTATCTAGAAAAAAAAAACAGAAAGAAAGGAAGAAAGAGGGAGGAAGGGAAAGAGGGAGGGGGAGGGAGAGAGACAGAGAAAGAAAGAAAGAAAGAAAGAAAGAAAGAAAGAAAGAAAGAAAGAAAGAAAGAAAGAAAGACAGAAAGACAGAAAGAAAGAAAGAGACAGAAAGAAAGAGGCTAAAAACAAGCCAAACTAAGGCAGGGTATTTATAAGTAATAAGACTCCATTCTATTTTGGAGCTGGGCAGCATATCCCCAAAACAATAAAAATCAACAAGTAATTAGTCATCTAGAACTAATTTATATAGAAGCTTCTTTACATGACAAATTGCTTTCCTGGTTGCACAGGGATTGCTTTGCATTCTGTTAGATAATGGTTGCATGACCTAGATAAAAGTTTCCATTCATAGATTACTCAAAATTTGCTAATTCAGGGATAAGTAATCAATCTTGACCTTACCAAGCATGGGGATTTTTGTGTATTGTTGTCAAATTATGTTTTTGCTACCATCTTAAACAGTAGACAACAAGTAAAAAGAATAATCAAGAAAGTAACTTACAATAATACATGTTGGAACCTCACGAAGAGAATATTCTGCCTTGTTGGGAAGTTCTTGATTGCCTGTTAGCTCATACACAGCAGGGTAGGACAGCAGGTTCACCAGCGCGAGGAAAGACTAGGGGAGAGGATGAGACATTGAAATAGCTTGTTTTTACTTTTAATGTTACACAGAGTCATTCATGTAAATGCTACAGCCCTCATGAATGTCTATGAGGGCTAGTTTCTTTAAACAATCTATTGTCGCTGGGCGGTGGTGGCGCACGCCTTTAATCCCAGCACTTGGGAGGCAGAGGCAGGCGGATCTCTGTGAGTTCGAGGCAGGGCTGGACCGACAGCCTCCAAAACAATACAGAGAAACCCTGTCTCGAAAAACCAAAAAACAAACAAACAAACAAAAAAACCAATCTATTGTCAGCATGAAATATCTACCATAATAGGTTTTAAAATGGCAGTGCTCTAAGAGTACTAATATAACAACTATTAAGCAGCACATGTAAGAGTTAGAAAACATTTCAAAATACTATGCAATTATGATGTTAGATTCTGATGATAAACGAAACAGTGCCCACTTTCTCATTCCTTACACTACTGCAACTAAGAAAAATCCAAGAAAGTAATACTCTAAGGCAAAATAATAAAATCTATATATTCTCAAGCTTAGTTGCAGATGGAAGTTACTATTCCGCCTAGTCCTGCCACCATTTAGACCCAAATAAACACACAGAGGCTTAGATTAATTATAAATTGTTTGGCCAATGGCTCAGGCTTCTTATTGGCTAACTCTTAATTGTTAACCCATAACTATTAATCTATATATTTCTATATAGCCTTATCTTACCCTAGAATTCCGGGTGTCCTGTTTTGCCAGCAGCTACATGGTGTCTCTCTGGCCATTCCTCTCTGTACTCCCACCCCAGAATTCTCATCTGGTAGCCCCACCTATACTTCCTGCCTGGCTACTAGCCAATCAGTATTTTATTAATCAGCCAATAAAAGAAACATATATAACTGCATATAGAAGGACATCTCCATCACTTAGTCCATAAGATTATCTTTTAATATTCTCAATGAAAATCAAAGAAACCTAGTTAATTTTCAATAGCCATGACCTTCCTAGGAAAATAGTTCCTTTGTCCTGGTCTGATCATACCAAGTTCACCTTTCCATGGCATTTGTAAGCCAAGTCCATCCTTTAGCTTCATCTACTTAACAGCAATTGGATATATTTCCCACACAACTCCATTCTTGCTCCTAGCTAAAAGGCATTCCATGGATATCCATCACTGGACAGCAAGGAAGTATAAATTTTTTAGATGACTCTCAGGGCACTTCACTCTCTTCTGCTGCATCTCCAAAGTCTCATTTCTCACCATTCTCCCATATGAAGTCATGTGGTCTCTTTCAACTGACTGCCACCTACAAACTTCTCTCGTCCTATTAATGGACCCCACCTGCCTTCACCTGCACTAACTTCAAAAGTTTGTCACATTCTTTTCAGTCGACTCTGTCTTCTTCCAGAAGTTCCACAACTTATTAGTTTATATAATATTTGTAGTTGTTTGTAAGCATTGTGTTCTGCTTAATAGTTTGATATTTTAAAAATTCAGTAGACTGAAAATTCATGAATCAGATTCTTCACTATGAGAAAAATAAAAATTTGAAAAAAGTAAAAAACTACTTGATTTGATTTTTCATTAATAGATAAGGAGACTTGAGGGCATGATAAAGACCTTGACTAATAGCATATTTGTATAAGAACTAAAATACATTTTCTTTTTCTAGCTAAGGTTTCTCTCTGCAAATGAAAAAATGGCTGTCAGGTACTATTTAACAGGAATAGCCACTGTCCAATCCTTGTTTGTGAACAGGAAGTAGAGTCCACTTCCCATGTCCTCCTTTTATACTCAATGGAGTGATACTTCACAAATTACAGTGGTCATATGGTGAACATATACAACATACGGTGTTTTCTGGATAAAAAAAATGAACATACATTAAGTTTAAGGTGTCTATATTCCCCCACCACATACAACCTCCTAAAAAAAGGATGAAATTTCTTACCAATCCTAACAATATAATCCAGAATTTAAACCTAATGTATATTAACATAACAGTAAAATTACCAAATAATAAGTGTAAAGGTTTAGTTAAAATTTACAGAGCATGCTTTGTTAAGAGAATACTAGTGAGGAGGCCTAGGTAATCTATGGGGCCTTGGGTAGTATTTATGCCTAGTGTACAAATAAACTTTGAGTGCCCATGCCACAATATGGGAGGCTCTCTCAGCCAGGACTCTTGGGGGAGGGCCTAGGCCCTGCGCTGGATGAAATGACAGTCACTGGAGAGCCACCATGGAGGGCCTCACACTCCCTGGGGATCAGAGTGGAGATTGGGTGGTGGACTGGGGGATCTGGTAGAGAGGGTGGGGGAGGAGGGGAGGGAGAGGGAGCTGGAATTGACATGTGAAACAAGATTGTTTCTAACCTAAATAAAAAAATTAATGATTATAAAAAAAAGAGAATAGTACGAAGGAATACTGTCACTCTAGATGAGTGTAGGAAGGAGTAGCGGGAAAAGACTGGTTATCAAGGAAAGCATGATAGAGGAAGGTGTCTCTAAATTACTACGAAAAGAACTATAAGGAACTAGAGGGTTCGTGACTACCAGCAAAACAATTACATAAACAAATTCATCACACAGGTATTAAGTAGAAGGATGATTTACAGATTTCAATATAACTTTCAAAAATTCATTATACTATCCAGAGAATATACCAAAGGTACAATAGAACTTCAAATGTTTTAAACATTTCATTATGTTAATCCAGTATTATTTTGATATAATAAGTGAATCTCTGCTTAATAGTAATGGATTACAAATGAAATTTATAAATTGAAGAGATGTCTACTTTCATAGGAAATAGATTTCTTTATCAAACATATAGCAATGTACTGAGGGTTTCTTACTATTTACACACAATAGCTCCACTCATGTTTATGGAATCTCCTGTCTAAGAAATAAAATAATTCTGTTGGAATATAACTGTAATAATTTCTGATATGCTACCTTCCCTAAGCAAATTAAGTAGCAATTCAGATGAAAATAATCCAATGATTGTATTTGAAAACAAATAACCTGCATGTAATTTTAAAGAGACTTGAAAAGATTTCAGTAGATTGCCACAAGAACAAACAAACCCATTTCTCACTCACTAGACATTTTTTAAAGGCACTTAGCATATTATAAAACTGTGATGGAACTGAAAATAGTTTCAATGCAATCATTAGCTCCCACAAAAGCACATTAAATGTGTTTGTGGTATCAGATATCATCCTAAAACTGAAACACCACAAAATATCTATTTACTCATCAGTGTTTGGGAATAACAAGGTTTTATGTAATAGTGCTAATGAAACTAGAAGGTTTAGTGGTTAATGAATTTTAATATTGGCATTTCAAGCTTAGAATTACTTAAAGTAACCAACTTCTTATGAACTAAAACTTACAGGTTCATAATGACTATTCACTCAAAATGTTTTAATGCCAGGTGCCAGAGCCAACTAAAACATGAATGAAACAATAGTCCCTACCCTGTAGGACAGGACAAACACTGTGAGATCATTCCATTCAGTAGATAGCCTGATGGTACTGTGCTCTGAAGAAAGGTTAGTGGTGATAAGGAGGATTACACTACAAGGAAGAATGAAGGGATATGGGGGTGTGGTTCAGAGAGAGCTGGCCTGAAAGGATGCAGTGAAGTGCTACCATAATAAGAACCATCCCCGGCCAGGCGTTGGTGGCGCATGCCTTTAATCCCAGCACTTGGGAGGCAGAGGCAGGTGGATCTCTGTGAGTTCGAGGCCGGGCTGGACCGATAGCCTCCAAAACAATACAGAGAAACCCTGTCTTGTAAAAAACAAAACAAAACAAACAAACAAAAAAAAACCATCCCCTACTTCAGGAAATGGGGGACAGTGCTTTCAGAAAATGAGTACAAATTATCCTTTATACTTCAGAAAGAAGGAAATAATTTGGAAAATAATTTGGGTGGTAGGCAGTATTAGGAAGTATGAAATTAATTTTGATTTTGAAGTTTCAAGAGACAGAGTTAGTTCTATTTTATCAGGACTCTTGGGAACAAATCAGAAAGTGACTCAAGAGGTAATAACATATGTGGAAATGTTGAGTCATAGTAGAGAAGACGCTTTTATGAACAACACCTTCTTCCAATGTCTCTCAACAGTCTCCTTCCTGTGAGTAGTACACAGGAGCCACATAAACCTTTCCCTCCCAGAGTTGCTGCTGGCCATGGTGCTTATCACAGCAATGGAAAAAAGCACTAACATGCTAACTAGGGCCATGCCACTCTTCTGATCTCTATAGTGTTCCTGCATGCCTTTTTCCAATCCTTTACACAAAATGTATCTGTCGACACCTTTACATAAGAGTGAATTTCACCAAGACAGCATATAGTTGGAACTTATTATTTTTACAGTTGCTTTTTTCATTTATTTTCTCAGTGTGTGTGTGTGTGTAGGGGGGTGTCCTTTTAATGGAATGCAATTGTAGTACCATGAATGCTCCAGGCTACTCTTGTCTTATCTGTTTTCCCTTACTGACCTTCAGTTCCTTTGGATCTTACTTCTCACCTCTTTCAGAATTTTTTGTTTTGCTAGGCTTTTATAGTTTTTAACATTATAGGCTATATCTCTCTGTACTGTTTTTTAAAGTTATTTCGTTATTTCTTTCTTTTCTTTTTTTTTTTTTTTGGTTTTTTTGGTTTTTCTAGACAGGGTTTCTCTGTATTGTTTTGGAAGCTGTCCTGGAACTCAACCAAGCTGGCCTCGAACTCACAGAGATCCTCCTGCCTCTTCCTCCCGAGTGCTGGGATTAACAGTGTGCGCCACCAACACCCAGCCATTTTTAAGTTATTTCCAATGTCCATGTTTTGTATGAGAGTGAATTAGCCTAATACCCCAGAGAAAAGGAACTTCTGAAATTGTAGGTAGAGGGGAGTACTTTTACATAATTTTGTGGCATTATTGTAATAAAAATTGTTCAGGCTTTCACTGCAGGGAATCATTACTTCAACTAAAAGAAGTTAGGAGACTACGTTACACATAGGAAAAGCCATTGCATTACAACAGGACACAGGGTAAGCACTTCTATAAAATGTTTGTTGCACTCCCCTAGCAACACCTTCTATCTGCCTGCTCTACTGTTCACTTCATCAGATTCAAATCCGAGGGCAAAAGCTTCCGGAACTTCTGTGGTGTCGGTTTCTCTTTGCTACAGGACACATTGTTTTTCATAACTTCCTAGTGTGTTATCACCCTTTACTAAGAAAGAAAAATACATAACAATCATAACATGAAAGAAAAGTATCCTTCCAATATATTTTCTAACAAGTATTGGTATGTTACAGCTCACTAAGTTTACTTTAATGAAAAATATTTTTAGGCATGAAATGAAAAAAGGTCCACATAAGAAAGTTAGTCAGAGCTGGGCTATGGTGGCACAAGCCTTTAATCCCAGCACTTGGGAGGAAGAGGCAGGCGGATCTCTGTGAGTTCGAGGCCAGCCTGGTCTACAGAGTGAGTTCCAAGACAGCCTCCAAAATACAAGAAACCCTGTCTCAGAAAACCAAAAAAGAAAAAAGAAAAAAGAAAGCCAGGAGGTGGTGGTGCATACCTTTATCCCAGCACTTGAGAGGCAGAGGCAGGAAGATCTGTGAACACAAGGCCAGTGTGGTCTACAGAGTGAGTTCCTGGATAGCAGGGCTACACAGAGAAAAATCCCAGTTGCTGCTTGTAAGTGACATGGGTCGGGTTTCCATGGAGTCATCTCTCTGCAATACACTGCAAATCTGTGCATTATTACATCACACATCTTCTTACCTTTTGACAGCTTCGGTCAATAGGATCCACTGGAGTAGCTCTGGGATGGGTTACCCTTACATCATCTCTTCCACACTCAAGATTGGACCATAACTCAGTTATAAGTGCACTAATGAAGCCTAGGAAGAAGTGTTACTATGTCATATTTATAGCATAATTTATGTTATAACATAAAATAGTATAGTCTGGTTTATGGAAAATAGGATTATTCTTATGAAAAGACTTATTTACTCTCATAGAGGAAAAATGCTTGCATCTTACAGAAACAATAGAGTAATATCTACTCTTGTTAGAAATGGTACTTGCCATTGTTACAAAATGTTTATGATATCCCATCACCCTGTAATGTTAAATAAATCATGGGAAAGTATTTCCCTGGAGACTGTAAAGAATATATTCAGGAGCTCGAGGAAGAGATAGGAGGCACCACCAAGTCAGGCAGGCATCAAAGGAATATGTTCACTTAATCTAGTATTCATAATTCCATATTGAAAACCATTCTGAACTTTGCCTCAATGCAGCCTTTAAATTCTCTTGAGTCATATACAATATGGCTAAATGAAAATGAATATTAAAGCTGATTATTAAATTCTTCAAATCATACACCACTTATAAAAATTTAACATCTAATCATAAAGAGCCTCAATTCCTGACCACATTCTAAATATCTCTCCTTATACCCACAGATAAGTGTGGTCTTCATTCCTGTATCAAAGAAACTTCTCTTTCCAATAGGTGTAGACTTTTTTGTTGTTGTTTTTTTGTTTGTTTGTTTTTTGTTTTTGTTTTTTTTCTAGACAGGGTTTCTCTGTATAGCTTTGGAGCCTATCTTGGTGCTTGCTCTGCAGACCAGGCTGGCCTCAAACTCACAGAGCTCTGCCTGCCTCTGCCTCCCAAGTCCTGGGATTAAAGGTATGCACCACCAACGCCTGGTCAGGTGGAGACTGTTACAGAAAGTCACAATCAATCAAAATGCCGAGTGGTGAAGCCCCATCCCAATAGATACATATACAACACAAATCCCACACCTAAGGCTCAGGAAACAGCAGAAGATGGGGTGCTGAGACTGTAAGAACCTGAGGTCAGGGAGTTCGCTGTTAGATTGTGTCTCCTAGTAACACCAGGAGTTATACCCATAAATATACCAACACAACTTCGTAAGCATGAGCGGAACAAGGACAATAAAAAATGACAAAGTGGACACTTGAGAAAGCTTATGGAAGCCTCAACCCTACAGGATACCAAGGAATGCTGAGAGCAGGAGAAATATTCTTCCTCAGAGAGGAGCACACCAACTTGTTACCCAATACCAAATGGTCAGCACTAAAAATATACAAGTAACATTATAGAGACTGAGCTGAGTGTATTTATATTTCTAGGGATTTATATGAATATACATATATGTATAGGAAGCAATGACAAAAACAGAGGCCATGAATTTTAAACAGAGCAAGGGGTATTTGAGAGGGCTTTCGGGAAGGAAAGGGAAGTGGGGATAGTGTAATTTTATTAAAATCTCAAAAAAACAAAATAAATTCAAGAAAAACCAATATGCTTATAACAAAATGAGAGAAGTGTTTTTCTGGCACAACTAAAAAAGTGTAGGCTCTATAACTAAGGATATTGGTGTCTAATTTAAGAGTTTATTAATTAGTTTGCATTCACAGGTGGAAGGTGATTCCTCATCTTCAGAGACCAGGGAATTTTGGTATCTGAGAATGGAAACTCCAGAGTTTCCACAGCATACAAATGGGACACTGCATGTATAGTGGCCAAGCAGTACCTGTAATGTAAGTTCAGGGATCGGTAGTCATCTGTAACCGGTGTAGGATTTCATTTAACCATCTCAAGAAGAGTTTGAGAGGATGAGGTTCAAAGGTTTAACTACTCAATGACAAGCAAATCTGGGATGAAATCTAATCTTCAAACGAATCTATTAATATATTCCTGTCTACAGTGCTACATATATTTAGCCAAAGTAGAAGAAAATGTGATTCAGTTTAGGGCTGGCTTTGTCAAGGCACATATGCAAAGAACCAAAATTGGTTAAGCATAATAATAATAATAAAATAAAATATTTTGGTTTAAGTAGTAAGCCAATAGTGATCACTGATACTGCTATGACAATCCAACATCTCCAACTGGAATTTCCTCTTATTTACCACAAATTATGTGTTGCTCAGTGCTTGACAAACTAATCATGGAGTATATTACAATCACGGTGGCTTACTTTCCTACCAATAAACCCAATTGATATAGGAGAATATATACAGATGGCAAACTTCAAAGAGTGTGTGAAGGCTACAGAGTGAGGGAAATGCTTTCTAGAGGAAAGAGGAATGATGGAAATAAGAAACTGGTACAGATATGAGACAACTGTGATACAGATGCATATCTACTAAACACTGGGCCATTCTGTCCAGGACAATTAATTATCCCAAGACAAATGACATTCTTTAGGTTTATAAGGTACAGAGGGATTCTTTAATGATTGAATAAGTTTTAGCACAGATCATCAGGTACCACTGTTCTAAAAACAAAAAGGTAAAATAAGAGTCTCTATATCTCATGGGATTAAATAATCACCAGTGTAATTTCATGGAAAGCAAAAATAATACTGAACACTTTCTTTTTCATGGTCACAAACTGGAAAGAAGAATTTTAGAGTTGAAATTATTCTGGGACATTATCAGGCTATTATTCATTTTACTAACAGTGATCTCATTTTATTTCTGAGGAAAAAACTTGCCTGAATTTTGTAGAGCTACTGCCCCGGCTGCTGTGGATGCCACCTGTACAACCAAAACTTCATAGTCAAACTTCTTTTGCCTGTTTATCTAACATAAAGAACCAAATGAGAAGAGAAGAACACACTGTGTTATTATAAGCAATACAAACTTACATGCACAGCTGCTTACCAGTCTAACAAATACAAGACTAGACATTTCTTTCAGGTGATAACAGCAGAAAAGCAAACAAACAACAGCAAATTAGTGAATTAGAACAAATGTGGTATTTTTAAGCATTTTATTTCTGATCTGAGTTTAGTCCTAGCTTTGACAAGTCATTTAGTAAGGTGCTGAAGTGATGAGTCCACAGTTAAAAGCACAAACTGCTTTTGCAGAGAACCCAAGTTCACTTCCCAGAATTCAGTTCGGTTCCCAGCATTCATATGTAGAAGCTCACAACCACCTATAACTCTAGCTCCATATGATCCAACACATTGGCCTCTGTGGACAGTTGAACTCACACACATAAATACACATAGTTAAAAATAAATATTTTTGAAAAGTCGCTTATTACTCCTGACCTACATTTTCTCATAAATATAGGGGCTTATTTCTCATAAAAGGGAACCTTAGGTCAAGTAAAACTAGGACAGCTTCTAGTTCTAAATTCTATCAAACCATCGTTACTAAGTTGTATCATCCTATTATTTCTATTGGGGCCACTTCTTCATTTATAAACTTTCATTGCCAGATTCTTAAATGGGTTTTTAAAAAATCAAAACAAAACGAAAACTCAAAAAACTACTTTCTCCTTAAGATAGCTACTTCTAGAGGATACATTTTCCCCCTAAACCTCAATATATCAGTTTCTGTGTAAAAGTCCTTCAGTATTTGACACTTTGTAAAGAATAAACCTTCACAGGGTGAGTACAGAAATGAGCCTATCACATCACATTGATCAGAATAAGGAGGTAAAGCGACATTATAACATCAGACCTTGCTAGTCTGTAAGATGCCCAACATCTGAACAGAGTTAACCATTCAGAATTGTTACTTAAGAACTTTTATTTAAAAACATCTGGTTTAATTTCAAGCTCTTCAAACATAAAGTGTAGCCTCAGTTCTAAGGAAAGAAAAAAACAACAACAAATACCTTTTAGCTAAAAAGGAGCTAAATGACCATGCTGAAAATTAGATTTATTCATCAACTTTTGATTGCTTATGTCTTTATAATTAGCCTTCCTTTTCAATCTTGTTAGTCTTATCTCTCATTTTCCTTGAGTTACACTCCACTGTTCTGCAGTGACACAGAAGTCCAGGAAGATAAACGCCTATCCTCCTTTCCCTGCTTCTTCCTGCCAAAGAGCACCACACTCTAAGGCCCGCCCACCAGACCTGAAAACTGGAGTATGGGCAGCCACATGGTTTGTCCAATTTCCACTTATTCTAAAAAGGACTAAAGTTATCATAAGTTGGACACTTTATTCAACAAGGTACGTCTTCATGCACATGATCAAACACTAAAAAAGAAGAAATCTGAGTTTCAGTCTGACCATCATAACTAGCCAGCTAACAGACACATAAAATGCATTTCATAACTAACCCGGGCTCCCACTCTCTCTTACACAAAATTAAGAAAACAGCCTAGCCTCCAGGCTTTCTTTTTTTTGAAAACTATCTGAGGATGTAACTGATGAAAATATCTGGAACTCAGGGCACATTAAAGTATTATGAATATGCTAATGAAGAACGACCATTGTAAATTTCCAGTGTCAAAGGGACAGTCTCTTCTAGGCAAGCTACTGGTAGGATGCAAAAACTATTAGGTTTTGAAATTTGCAAACATAAGAATGACATCTAATTCTAGATGTATTATGTAAAGCTATGCCTGCCTGATCTGAAGTGCCTGAATGAAAAAGAAAATGTGCCAATTTTCATAATGATAAACAGTATAAACAAAGCCTGAGCAGTTAATTAGTATACAAGGACAGCTCTAAACTCTGCTATGGGGGAACGCAAAATAAACGGAACATTTGTAAAAAGTGTGAGTGAGTGTGTGTGTGTGTGTGTGTGTGTGTGTGTGTGTGTGTAAGGATATTACATATAGTAAAATCCTAAATATGGGGTTGAGAAATGCACACAGGATGAAATGGAGCTAGCAATCTGGCATGACACTAGAATAAAATAAATAAAACAGAAGAGGAGCCTCACACAGATGGACAAGGCAAGCATGCCATAAAACGAGGAAGGGGAGAAACTATGTTTTCTGCACTTAGGGTCCACCTTCAATAAAGCAAGACAAAAAAATGTATCAGCACATATACACCTAACCTCACAAACTCATGAAAAAACAGAGACACATTTTCCTCATGCAAAGAATGTTAGGGGCCTGCCTCAGAAACTATTCTTCACAGGCAGAGGCAAGAAGAAAGCATTGTTTATTTTCTTATAGTTTTAAACAAAGGTAGGGGATTAGAATTTAAGAGCGTAAAAAGATTACGACTTGCCATGAGGCAACACAAAAACATCAAAGACAACAGATAACAGATGCTAGAGATTGGGGGGGGGCAAAAAACCACTGTGAAAGAACTGATACCAGGGACTGGGGACCTGGCTGTATCTGCAAGGTGCTTGCTGCATAAGCAGGAGGTCAATCTGCCTAAGCCAGCCTTTGGGGATGGAGGGAGGTAAGGGAGGCTGGGCTTGGTGGCACACACCTACAATTTCAGCACTTAGGGTGAAGAGACAACATTGCTGGCCATCCTTGGGGTCTGCTGGCCATCTAGCCTAGCCCTAAGTTACTAAGTTCCCAGCTAAGATCCTTTATCAAAAAATAAGATGGAGCTCTTTGCCATCTTGCAAGATGGTGGCAAAGAATGCTGATGAGCCTGACACAAAGGAGAAGAAACCTGCAGTCAAGAGGGCTGAGGTGTTGATCAAAGGGTAATGACAAGGCTAAGAAGCCAAAAGGGGAAGCTCCTCTGCAGCCTGGAGCCCGACCTGTTGGAGAACTGGGAACACTCCCTATCTGTTGTGGTCCCAGAAGGGTGCTGCAGAGGATAAGCACTCAGCTGCTAAACCCAAGGTTGAAGGAAAACCAAAAATTTAAAGCCATGGAAGGATCCTGCCACTGTCACAAAGCCAGTCAGTGGTGACAAGAACGGAGGTAACCACATAGTTAAGCTTTGCAAGACACCTAGGTGTTATCCTGCCGAAGTGCCACCAGGGAAGGGGCAAACTCAGGGCATGAAAGTCTTCCACGTCATGTGGGAAGCTGAGTATCACACCATGCCCAGTCTTGACCATCCTCAATGGACAGCCACGAAACAAGAGAGCTCTCCTGAAACAGCTTGGGCATTTGGTGCTTTGCTGCATGTGGCTGGACCTACTTCCCTCAATCTTCTCTGCACAGAACACACCAGAAACCAGCCACTGCCACCTCCACAAAAACTGCTATCAGTGATACTAAAGTCTCCAAACACCTCGCCGATGCCAACTTCAAGAACTGTAAACTGGGCAAGTGCAGGTGCCAGGGAGGCGGATCTCTGACAGAGAATAGAGGAAATACAAGATTACTGTGCAGGGCAAGGCTGATCAGAATGCTGTGGACTTGACAGTCTGCAAAAGGTCAAGCTATTCCTTAGCTCCAGGGACATGTGCAGTCCTTTTGGGCTCTAACAAATGGAATTTATCCTCACAAACCTGTGGTCTAAATTTCTTGACAAAAATCTAATTAAACAACTATATTAAGTATATAAAATATAACTACATATTTAAAAAAGAAAGTGGAGAGCAATTTAGGAAGACAGCTAACACTGACCTCTACATATACCCAAGTGCATGACCATGTACACACACACAGCACACACACACACGCACACACAGCACACCATACACACATATATATACACACAGCACACCACACACATACACACACACACACACGCATACACATACACACACCACACACATACACATACACACACATCACACACACGCACGCCACACACATACACATACACACATCACACACACACACACACAGCACACCACACATATACACATACACACATCACACACATACACACACACACAGCACACCACACATATACACATACACACACACATCACACACACACACGCACATACACACACACGCGCGCGCACATACACACACACAGCACACCACACATATACACATACACACATCACACACACACGCATACACACACACAGCCACCACACACACAGCACACCACACATATACACATACACACATCACACACACACACACATCACACACACACAGCACACCACCATATACACATACACACACATCACACACACACACATCACACACACACACAGCACATACACACCACCCCCACACACAGAGCATACACACCAAACACACACAGCACATACATACCATACCCCCAGAAATACACACATACATACAGCATGTACACGCAGCACACACACACACACACACACACACACACACATCACATAGCATGTACAGGCATGCCTTGATCCTGGTCAAAAGACCAAGGAGAGAGTGAGAGGGAGAGGGAGGGAGCGGGAGGGAGGGGGAGGGGAAGAGGGGAGAGAGAGAGAGAGAGATGAAAACCCTCAGAAACATACTTAAGATCTGAAAAATCCCAGGAATGCAAGGATCTTTCTTATTACAGGAAAAACACAAAGCTGATTATGAGTCATTTACTTCAGACTGCCTGACTAAATAAATTACCTTGTAAGTTTTATTTAACAGTAAAATATAATCTCTCTAAAGGGAAGTTTGTATCTTTTAAAACGCCCGAGGGCAAAGCCTTCATTGATACATACATTTAGCTTTAACAGGATTTTTTCCCCAGAAGTTCTTCCCAGCCTTGATACATATGGATGTATTATATCATGCTTATAAAACATCTGGAAAATCAACTGAAAATTCCAATTCCATCTGGCTGCTTGCAATTTCAAAATAACAGCCACAGATACCAATATCAACTTTCCTTTAAAAAAACAATCAAGTGGTACCACGTAACACGGTATTTTAAATGAATCTTAATAGTCCCATCACACACAAAGAGCAGACGGATGGTTTTACGACAACAAGTCCTTTTGCTTGGAACAGACGGTAACTCATACCTGTAGTTTCTTTGCATACTGGTTGAACATAAACGTCACACATTCGTTGATGGCACCTGTTCTCTGAAGAAGTAGTAACCCTTTGGGAGTGGCAGCAAAGTTGAGTAAGTCATCCAGCAAATTGTCTTCCCAAGCCACACTGGAACAGGGAGAGGGACTTTTAATATCCCCAAAACTGACAATACTTAAGGTCGGCATGGGTAAGAACTACAGTGACCGAGTATACCCTGACTGCAGGTTGTTCGGGACATGTTCTGAAATGAGATGGAAACGGTGAGCATTTTTCTCGCTTCCACTGACAGCTCCCACTGCTGAGCGAGTGGCCTTTTCATCTCAGGTGCAGCACCCCACGCCCTGATTTTCTCATCCACGCTCTAACTTACCAGGATAATTCTACTGCACTTGCATTCCCCGAACCTCAACTCTCCATTGTTTTCATGCATTCTTTTTATTAAAATATTTGTTTTCTCATGTTCTCCAGCATAGTATCCATATTTTCTCCTCTATTTTCATATGTTTTTATTTTATTTGGAAGTGAGTGACAACATTTTTCTCAAAACACATTTTTAAGACTGATAGCTTGGTCCAGAGGTTAAAAAAATTATAGAAACTGTTGTGCAACATTACTTCCATTATTTAATGATATGTTACATTTATCTATCCTGCATTTGCTGAGTTACATAAAGATATGATGTTTTTGTTTAATTATGTAAAATGTGTTGCTGTTTTACCTTGCCTGCCTAAGATACCTGATTGAGCTAATAAAAAGCTGAATGGTCAATAGGTAGGTCTCAGCATTTATATATAATTAAACTACCTAAGAACATATACATCAAACCCATATTGTATTTTAAAACACAAAAATACCTAATGAGTTTATACTACCTTTTTAAAGGACACTGTTAGAGCTGGGAGGCAGCCACGGAGCCCAGTGCATAGAGCATTGCACTTCTAGCTAGAGCCGGATATGGTGGCACATGCCTGTAATTCCAGCACCCAGAGGTGGAGCCAGAGGAATGCTGTGAGTTTGGGACAAACCTGGGCTAGAAAGAACTAGTGCTCCACAACCAAACCTTGTCTCAGAACAAAGAGAATAACGGACAGCTAACTAAACACACAAAATGTTCTTAAGGATAATGGTTCTCAAAGAGCAAACTGAGAAACAGCATAGGAAGGGGCTGGGGAGATGGCTCTCTGGGTAAGAGTATTTGCTGTGCAAGCATGAACTCCTACCATCCTGCCATGCAAAGGGGAGGATACTATGAAGTCTGTAGTATTATCTTTTTCTGAAAATAGCTCTTGCCTTTGGGGAGACTGAATTGTGGCCAGTCCTTGCATTCCAGTTAGCAGTATGCTCTGAGGTCTAGAGCTGGATACTCAGCCTCCTCCCTCAAGTTGAAAGTACCTTTAAAATAACAATGTAACCTATCTACTAGGACTTGCAGCTCCCAGTTAATTAGCTTTCACACTCTAAGCTAAATGCACAGCTTTAATCTTAAACTGGGTATTCTTTCACAGCCCTGACCCAGAAGTGTGTTTGTATGCTGTGGTAATCATTTGCTGAAAATAGCTAAGACACTGAAAAGAACCTTGAGGAAAACAAATATCCCGTAAATGTTAGAAGCAACATGGATATAGGATGATAATATCTGTGTGTGGTTTCAACTGCTCTTCTGAGTCTGCTGGAGTCAGTAAAGGAACTTCTTGTAAAAGTGTGGGAGGTTTCTATAAAAATGCATTCCGCATCCCTTTCTCATTCTGTTTTCTGTGATGTTAAATAAACTGAGAGCAAGCCCTTTGCTAGGGAGAAACACAGGTCCAGATCAGACACACACAACAGAGAATGTAGACTGTGATCAAAAACTACATACATGTGGCAGACAGGAAGAGAAGTGGAGAACTAAGTCTGGGCTTACTTCAGACCTAAACTTCTCTTTTTATAAAGTCTCTTTCTTATTTCTTAATGTGACGTTGATGCAAAGGCTTACCCCCGCCTGGAGGTTTATAGGCAGCTAATTGTGGTAGTAGTGGAAAAGACATTCTTTTCAATGGTGTAACCTCCAGTCAAGTGTCCATGCTCCAAACCCTCATCCTTGTTCCCATAAACAACCCTAATGCTCCTGACTGGGTTACCACCCAACCTTGAAAGCAGAAGGGAATTAGTTGAGGACAGAAGAGAATTAGCAGGATTGGAGTAGAAAAGGAATGAGAGAAGGTCAATATTATAGAAATACATTATATATTCATGAAAATGTCATAATTAAGACCAATGTTATGTACAACTAATATATTCTAATAAAACATTAAAAAATTTTAGAAAACTTAAACCAAGTCATTCAAACAGGAATATACATATGAAGTATTAGTCCTTAAAGAAGATAAAAATCAATTTTAAAAAGTTTCTACATTTAACACAAATGAAACAGAAAAAAAAATCATGTGAATGGCCCCATTACATGATGTAAGAATATAAGCCATTCTGGAAAGTAAGTGATGACATGCTTTAATAGTTCTTCTCTGGAACTATTTAACTGTCCTGTAAATTTTAATAAGGGGGACAGAAGATCTGGGCCATTGAGTTTTATTGCCCTTTCCCTTTGGAGAGGGGCAATGGCAAATGAAGTGACCTGCTCTCCAGTAGTGCTGTGGTATGAATAAGAATGGCCCCACAGGCTCAGGAATTGAATGCTTTGTCATCAGGGAACAGCACTACTTGAGGGCAATGAGGAGGGATGGTCCTACTGAAGCAGCCTTGCCTTTAAGGCTAGAGGAAGCCTGTCACTGGAAGTGGGCTTTGTGGTTTCAAAAGTCCATGCCATTCCCAGTGTCTCTCTCTCTCTCCTGCTGCCTGTGTATTTGGATGTAGAACCCTTAGCTACTTCTCCAGAACCACGTCTGCCTGTGTGCCACCATGTTTTCACCGTTATTATGCACTAAACCTCACAAACTGTGAGTGAGACCCAATTAGATACTTTCTTTTATGATAGTTGCCATGGTCACCATGTCTCTTCACAGCAAAAGAATACTGACTAAGACAAGTAGCAAGATACTGTCAATGGAAATACAGTCCCTGGTGATGAATTCCATGGTATCATGGCTGAGCTTTGCAGATCAAAGAATCCCTCTGTAATTTTGGCCTCCAATTTTGTAGTTTCCTTTGATGGCTGGATGGGGCCAATTTGACATCTTTTCTTTTTCTCTGTGATTATATTTTCTCTAAAATCACACAGTGGTAATTTCACATAGTGTGACAATACTTAGATCAGCCTATTAGAAATTTGGTGTTGTGAGGCAATGCCTAGATTAGAAAGAAGGACATGAATAGTCCACCACTGCTGAGCATCAGCTTCTCCATTCTCTAGCACTATAGGCACCACTGAATGGGAAGCTGGAGCAGGATCCTATGTTCCAAAAAAGTGAAAATAAATAAGCAAATAAATCAATAAAATGTAATTGCAAAATGCTTAACTTCAAGGCAAAAATGATTAATTTTTACAGATTGCTATTATTTTACTGTTTTCTAATTAAGCTAACTCTTACTCACAGTAACTTGAACTACAGAAAGACCCATTCACTAATCCCATCCTTCATTCACTCAAGAAATCAGGTACTGCTCCATCCTCTGGGCTCCACATCCTGGCCTACAACATCTGAAAAAGACGTCCGCTTTACCAGAGACCAGGGCAAATCTGGGGACCCCAGTTAAGACACAGACCACCACCCCATAATACTCCTTAAAGCCCGACCAACAGCCCCAGACTGCACCCTCCACTCTGCTACCCTGGCTCCATATCCCAGCCTACTATCTGGAAGAAGTGTTTGACTTCACCAGAGGCCAGGCAGGATCTAAGAATTACAGGTAAGAACAGCCCATTACCAGAAAACACTTGCTAAAGCCTGTCCAACAACCCCAGACCACACCCCCTCCCCTGGGCTCCACACTAGGGCCTACAGCTTTACTAGAGGCCAGAGTAGTCCCAGGGACTTCAGGGAAGACACCACCCACCAGTCCTTAAAAGAAACCAAAATTATACAGTGGAAAAAAAGAAAGCATCTGCATCAGATAGTGCTTGCATATCTGGATGCTGGCATGTAGAGGAATGCAAATTGATCCATATCTATCACCCTGTATAAAACTTAAATCAAAGTGGATCAAAGACCGCAACATAAAGCAGGATACACTGAACCTGACAGAAGAGAAAGTAGGAAGCAGCCTTGAGTTTATTGCCACAGGAAACAACTTCCTGGCCAGGACAAAAATAGCACAGGCACCAAGATTAACACTTAATAAATGGGATGTCAGGAAACTGAAAAATTTTTGTAAGGCAAAGGACACCATCAATAGAAAAAAACAGCAGTCTACAGAATGAGAAAAGATCTTCACCAACTCCATAGCTGAAGAGGACTGATTTCCAGAATATATAAACAGCTCAAGAAACCAGACATCAAGCCGGATGTTGGTGGAGCACGCCTTTAATCCCAGCATTTGGGAGGCAGAGGCAGGCGGATCTCTGTGAGTTCGAGGCCAGCCTGGTCTACAAGAGCTAGTTCAAGGACAGCCTTCAAAGCCATAGAGAAACCCTGTCTCGAAAAACCAAAAAAAAAAAAAAAAAAAAAAGAAACCAGATATCAATAAGTCAAATAATCCAACTAGAAAATGGGGTACAGATCTAAACAGAATTCTCAAATGGCCAAATGGCCAAGAAACACTTAAGGAGATGTTCAACATTCTTGGCTATCAGGGCAGAGCAAATCAAGATGACTCTGAGATTCCACCTAAGAGCTGTCAGAATGGCTAAAATCAACACAAGTGGCAGGTAATGCTGGAGAGGATATGGAACAAGGGGAACACCTCTCCATTGCTGGTGGGAGTGCAAACTTGCACGGCCACTTTGGAAGTAAATGTGGCAGTTTCTCAGAAAAGTGGGAATAAATCTACCACAAGACCCAGTAGTATCACTTTGGGGCATATACCCACAGGATGCTCAATCATACCACAAGGACACTTACTCAACTATGTTAATAGCAGCTTTATTCATAATAACCAGAACCTGGAAACAACCTAAATGTCCCTCAACCAAGGAATGAATAAAGAAAATGCAGTACATTTACAAATGAGTACTACTCAGCTGTTAAAAACAATGACATCAGGAAATTTGAAGGCAAATGGACGGTACTAGGAAAAATCATCTTGAGTAAGGTAACACATACAAAGAAAGACAAATATTCATAAGTGGATATTAGACATAAAGCAAAGGATAAGCAGACTACAGGCCACAACCCCAGAGAACCTAGGTAACAAAGAGGATCCTAAGAGAGACATATATGGATCCACATAGGAAGGGGAAAAAAGACAAGATCTCCTCAGTAAATTCTGAGTGTGGAAGGCAGAGGTGGAGGGCAAAAGGGGAGAGGGGAGGAGAGAATGGGAATGGGGAAAAAACGTACAGTACAATTTAAAAAATGGGAAAAAAGACTATCCCTACTATGTTTCATATTGTGCCAACACTCAACCATAAAACTAAAATAAAAACATGAGATCATGAAACTGTAGTTTAATATGTTCCTTGTTAACCTACCATCATATAGATTAATATTTATGTAAAAGCATAACTACACAGAAATATTAATTTACTTAGTTAATTAGTGCCAAACCTAATTACACTGCACTCTTACAATATTTTGAAAAGCAAGTAAAATGGATTTCACCAGCATTTGAAATCATTTTACCTCTACATGCAAATTAGTTTTCCAATTTTAGTATTTGATAATTTTCCAATTTTTCTATAAACTTTACAATACATCAAGCTTCCTAACACGAACTATAAATAAACAAGAGTAAAACCTATTTAATATTTCTATATTTGTTAATGGCTACAAGTATCACATAATCTATAAATAATAAAAAGTATAATTTTCCTCAAACCTATATGCATATAGTTTAACTTCCTGACAAATGTTTTACCAGAGTATTCAAATGATTTTCAGTTATGTCTAAATTATTCCAACAAACACAATAGAGAGATACTGAACATTATACTTACATGTTGGGAGATTCCTGGCTCAATAAGGAAACTGAGTCAGAGCCCTCTACTGGAGTGGGGATCCTTTCTGATAGCAAGCTTGTCTGAAAAAAAGAAAAAAGAAAAAACAGACTAGTTTGTTTCCCTGCTTTTCTAACTTACAGCACTATTCACAAGATCTCTAATACTGTAGTTTTACTTTTTTTTTTATCCTTAATGCATTTTAACACAATTGCTTTCAAAATTAAATTATCTGGCTCAATGAAGTTAAAAGGCTAAGCAATCCCCTGGACTACACATGGCTCCTGCTCTATTATGTTCTTGAAATCATAACCTCCACAGAAGACTGTGAATCTGTGCACAGAGAAACTCAGCTAAAGCTAGACCTACTAAAAGAGTAGGGTTTGAAGTCGTTCTGTGTCAAGATAAGAAGCAGGAATAGCTAATACAAATCCAAAAGAAGTCATCCTTAGCCTGGCATGGTGGCACACACCTTTAACACCGGCACTCGGGTGGCAGAGGAAGGTAGACCTCTGAAAATTCAAGGCCAGCATTGTCTATATAGTAAGTTCCAGACCAGTTAGAGCTAAATAGTGAGACCCTGTTTCAAATAAGAAAAGAAAGAGAGAGGGGGGGAGGAGGGAGGGAGGGAGGGAGGGAGGGAGGGAGGGAGAGAAAAAGAGAGAGATACATGTCCTATTAAAATATCCTGTCCATACCAGGTGGTGGTAGCATACACCTTTAATCACAGCACTAGGAAGGTAGAGGCAGGCAGATCTCTGAGTTCTGAGTTTGAGGCCAGCCTGGTTGACAAAGCAACACACAGAAAAACCAGTCTTGAAAAAACAAAACAAAACAAAACAAAATCCTGTGCACATTAAGGTATTATACAGTGATGCCAGTAACTGAAATAAAGACCTGCAGGGAGGAAAGGTTTATTATACCTACCTTCCTCCATGCCCTTGCTATAGATTCGTGTAGACCATAAGGAAGCAGCGCCTGCAAGCCTTCACATGTGCCATATATTTGGCGACACACAGAAATAAAAGCTCCTTTAACTATAGGCAACAGTTCCGATCCAGAGAAAACAGAAATATCTTCATCAAGAAGTTTCTTTGAAAACTTGGCTATTATATGAGCACCTGTAGGGCTAAGAAAGAGATCACAGATGTGATTACAAAGCCAAGCAGCCCTAGCTTCATGGAGCACCAGCAAAACAGCCCGTCTCAACGCAGCTCACTTGCTAGTTCTCTTTTAGATATCGCATAGATTTCTGAAAACAAGTCAATATGCCTGATGCACCAATGTGAGCATGACCGTTTCAGCGGATCACGAGAAAAGGTAATCAGACAGGGAGACAGCAAATCTGCACACACTTAGGAGAGACAGATGCCATGCATCCAGGGTCACACATGACTGTTCTTGCTTTTCCAGTGAGCACCTCTTATCGTTGCTACCTCCCTCGTCACAATAACAACACAGCCACCTTACCTCAAAGCTCAAGATTGCTTTCCTGGAAATAATAATGGCACAGACAAAATGCTCCCAATGAGCCAGGAGCTGGTGGTGCAGACCCTTAATCCCAGCACTCAGGAGGCAGGGACAGGTGGATCTCAGTGAGTCTGAGGCCACCCTGGTCTACAAAGCAAGTTCCAAGACAGGTTCCAAAGGCAGAGAGAAACCCTGTCTCAAAACACAAAACAAAAAAATGCTTCCAATGTGAAAGTTATTGTTTTAAGTATTTTAATGTGCTTATGTAGATTTTTCTATAATCCTTTGAAGTTTACAGTTCAGAAAATACATGCACGGTTACAAAAGTAACTTGCACAATATTACATATAATATTAAGAAAAAAACAAGATAACCTAGCCTAACTCCAGAGAAAAGCAATGTTAATACTTTTTCTAGGCTTGAAAAACAGATGGCAAAACAGAAACAAGCATTAAACTTAGAGAACACTCAAGTCTCCAGGTACCTTTGTCCAGTGGCATTACCAACATTTTACCATCCTTGTTCTGTACATGTAACCCAGTGTATGTCTCTAAATAACAAAATTTCCATTTCAAATGAATATATCCACATAAAAACTGTAATTTTTAGTGAGACAGCCCACATCAAACTTCTCTTTATTGTCTTAAAGATGCCATTTTATTTAGATAGCTTTGTGTAAATTATATTTCATACAAGTCCTATAGGTTGTGCTGGGTGATTGAAACTCCCTGCGTGGTTTTTTTTTTGTTTGTTTGTTTGTTTTTTTTTTGGGCCAGGTCATGATTCAGATAATTTTATATTTGTATGACCATTATCCCATAGTATCTTCCAACCCATTTTCTAGTTCCCCAAATGTTCTATAAGATTGTTAGATCTCAATGTTTACTATTTAGTTCTTTATCCCTCCTTGACAAAATAACTTCATTGATGGTGTGTGCCTCCTTCATGAAGCACTTATCTGATGACCCCAATTTAGGTTATACTAAAAATTCGTTTGGCAGATGGCACCAGTCTGACATTTCTAGTAAGAAAGGTTTTTCACCTGATGATTTCAGCCACTATTATGATGATTACCAAGATTTTATGAAGAAATACTACATGCATCTTTTCTGATTCGAGAATTTTGTATGTATTTACTAACTAGCGTTCTTCCACAAAGAACTTTTCCTGTGTAACTTGCTAAAAATACAATGTGGAAAGGAAAGTTGGAAAAATGATCTAATATTTATCAATTTGCAAAATAATAAATGTACTTGGTGTCACAGCAACCTCATTAAGAAACTATTCAGTCCATTTGTGCTTTACTTTTACCATTTTTATATTTTATTATTTTAATACTTCTTAAATCCATGTTTATAGACCTAATATTTTATACCTTATTGCACCCATTATTGTTTGATCCTCATCATCTTTAAAACATTAGAATATCCCTTGAGATACTTTTAGCCCTATCCTGATAGTTTTAAATAGTTTGATTTCTAGAAACAAAATTAGGCAAGGATGATTCTGTATACTTCTTATCCCTGACACAGAAACAGTCATTTCTTCAAGGCTTCATGTCTCCTCTTAGGAAAACAAACAAACAGACAAAAACAAAACAAAACAAAACAACCCACAGGATACAGAGATACCACAATGCAAGGTATCTGCTCACTGTCAATAATATCATTGCTTCTAAGCCTTTTCCATGGTGGTGATCTCAAAAAAAAAAAGTGTAGCTTTTTAAAAGAAAAAGTAAGTTCATAACTGCATTTCCAGTATGAACTGAATAGTCAAGATTTTACTTGTTCCTTTAATTTTATGCTTTTATATCTTACACTAAAAAAAATCTTAGTTAGCAATGCTATTAACTATTCATTCATTATCCATAACAATTTCAAAATAACGTCAATAATGCTTCTAAACATACCAAATGCAGTTGATATTGAAGATTAGCTCACTTACATTACACTCCACTACAAGTTCAATAATGAAGAAGTTACTTGAAGTAATTTTCTTTCTTCATGAATTTGTCACTAACATGACTGTTAAAGTTTACTTACTTGCTTTGTAGGTTTTAAAATTTCTGAGTTTTTTCTTTTTAATTTGTTTAACATTTAGAGCCTAAGCAGTTACTTAATTATAAAGTAAAACCTAAGTATGACCAGTGTATTGATCATTTGTCCACATACACTTTTGTTCTTATCTTCTGTTCCCTAGAAATAACTGTTTTCATTGCCTTTCAGGATGTCATCAATAATTCCCCCCCTAAGCAATAAACAAATGGATGACCCAACTGCCCTGTCTCTGCTTTCTCTTTCTCACTTAATAATATGTCATAAAGCCAACAGCATAAGCAGTCTATAAAAATGCACGCACACACACACACCAGACACACAACAACCTGGAGATCAGAGGACAATTGTAGGAATCAGCTGTCTGGGGTTCTGTCATGTGAGTGTATGAGTCCTTTGGGAAATAAACACAGGTCATCAGGCTTGGCAAGTGGCACGTTTCCCTGCTAAGCCATTTCTGGTCCCCCAATTCCCTTCTACAGCTAGCTAACTGCTCACTCCATTGTTGTAGGAGAAAGCCTGTATGCCGCCATTAACCATGTGACTTACTAGAGGCGCATATGGATGAGGTAATAAAAGGGCGGTTTACCACACCACTAACCACACCCATTTTAGGCATGACTAAAGACGTATATGGCCGGACGTAAAGACGTATACGTACATAGGCGGTGAACTACGTCACTAGCCAGGCCCACTTGTGGGCATGGCTAGGGGGTGTTACGGGGGAAGGCATAAAAGACAGCACACAGGAAGTCTTGGTCTCTTTTCCGGGAGTTCGGCTTCCGGTTCGGCAGCGGGAAAACTACTTGGCTCATCTGGGTTACTTGTTTGGTATCTTGTGAGTAATTTCTACAATAAATACTTAGTTTTACTTTCAGTAAGTGTGTCGCTTATCGTTACAGCATCCTTTGGAGCCTCACATTGTGAAGAAAAAAAAAGAGCCAGACTCTTGTTAATTGCATTTGCAAATATTCCAGTCTTTCTCCTAAGGAAACAATGGGTAAGAACTTTACATAGTGATGATTCGGGGTCACTTCTATTAATTATATCGTGTTTGTCTAACTTCAAAGAGAAAGCCTTTCTTTAAAACAAAACCACTCCCAACACTCAGGAGGGAAGTAGAGAGACATGAGTATCTCTGTGAATTCGAGGCCAGCCTGGTCTACAACGCAAGTTCCAGGACAGAATCCAAAGCTACACAGAGAAATCCTGTCTGAAAAAACAAAAAACAAAAAACCCACATTATACATCAAAACCCTGATTTCATCCAAGTTAACAATATTCATATAGAAACAGAAAAACTAAGTTTTTATATTATTAGTGCCAAGCATACTCACATTCATTTTGTTTTTCTAGTAACTTTATTTTTTTAATTTATAAAAGTATAAAACTTTATTACAAAAACATGCAAATAAATAAAAACATTACACAACAAGATTAACCAGGCTCAAGTCCATTCGTGTTAATGGATTTACTACATGCAGTTACAACTGACTAGCTGAGGGGATCAAGGCTGCTTTCTGGTATCAGTAAGATCTTATTTTTAAAAATGAAAAAAACTACATTTCTAAAGGATTAAGTAATAGATTAAGGAGATCTTAGAATTCATGACAAAATAAAAATCTTCCTCATTAAAAAAAATCATTATGTACTCAGCATCTCCAGCTAAAAAGGACAAATTGAATGCATAACAACTATCTGTTACCTCCATAAACACTAAAATGCATGAGTAAATGTGTAGGAATCCTCAAGGACAAAGAAAAGGGAAAGGATAAAGAGGAAACTTTGGAACCTGGAATACAGAAGAGCACAGTAAACCAGGACTTAGAAAACATCAATCACCAGCCATATACAAAAGTCAGAAATCATCTAATTAACTTCTAAAACATTAGTGGGGGGGGGACAGTAATGATGACTTAAATATCTCTGGAAAAAAAACCAGGACTGAAAGTAAGACCTGCTTGGAAGTAAGTTTAAGGAAAAGCGTTATCCTTCAGATTCCACTTAAAATCGCTAGCCCAGGTACTTCTTGGAAGGCACAGAGAGCAAGTAACACAGGAGGACCTGGTGGAGGTGGCATACTTTTAATCTCAGCACTCAAGAGGCAGAGGCAGGTAGATCTCTGAGGCCAGCATGGTCTACAGAGCTAATTCTAGAATAGCCAGGGATTTATAAAGAAACCCTGTCTTGGGAAAGAAAAAAAAAAGGAAGAGAGGGGGAGGGAAGGAGAGGGGGAGGGGAGGAGAAGGGAAGAGGGGGAGAAAGAAAGAGAGAGGGGAGAGAGAGGTAGGGAAGAAGAGAGGATAGAGGGATAGAGAGAAGGAAGGAAGAGAGAGAGAGAGAGAGAGAGAGAGAGAGAGAGAGAGAGAGAGAGAGAGAGAAGGAAAGACAGACAAACAGGAGGGAAGATGACATCAAAATGGACACACTGATGTTTGAGATCCAGCACAGCTTCCACTCCATCTCTGCTGAGGTGGTTGTGTTTTTCAGGCAGGTAATTGCAAAAGGCTTCATTAGGGCATTCCCAGAAAAATGCTAAGGCACTTTCAATACAATATAAAGACCACAAGTGACAACTGCCCTTGTAACAGTTACAACAGCGTTTTGAAACATCTAAGGAGTAATAAAAGAAACCAAAGGAACAAATAAAGAATAAATGGAAGAACTGAGAAAATACAGGATGACAACTTCATTATCCATGGAAGTGAAAAAAATTTACTGTGCTCCAATAGGAATAAGATGTTCTGCTTAAGCACACACACACACATACACACACACACACACACACACACACACACACACACACACACACACACACACAGAGGCCAGCAAGATTCCTCAGCATGTAAAAGCAATTGCAATAGCCTGAGTTTGATTCCCTGAAACCTATATCAACGCATAAGAACAAAACAAACTCCACAGTGTTGTCCTTTGATACCCACATGTATCTACACATGTATATGCCTATGAACACATGTATGTGCACACACAATCAACAAGATCAAGAACTGACCTTCTGGAAAAAGCCATAAACTTGGTAAGTTTCAAGTTAGCCCTAATAATAATAACAACGAAGTAAAAATGACTAGTACCAGAATGAGAGCAGAGATTTTTCACTGCTGATACCACAGCACTAACAAGATACCCAGAACACATTACTGGCAACTCTTAACCATTAATAAATAACGGCAACATTTCTTTGACAGACACAACCTGCTAAATTTCACACCAAATGAAGTAATTCTGAACAGGTCTATACACCTAACAAAGAAATTAAGTAATTAAACAAACGCCACTTATTGTCTCACTGATGAATTCTGCCAAATACTTACAGAAGTTATAACAGTTCTCTACAATTCCTTTCAAAAGACAGAAACAGGAGGTATCATTTCTAACTTACGAAACCAGCTTTGTATTAATATCAAACAACAAAGATATTCTGGGTTTCAGCGGCTGATATTATGTGTCAGCATGGCAAAGATCCTCTGTACCCACAAGAAACTCAACGCCACAGTGGGGAAGAGGAATATTCCCAACCAAGCATGATTTACTCCCTGAGTAAGACTGCTTGGCACTTAAAAAACCAATTAATGTCAGGCCTGGAAAGATGGCTCAGTGGCTGCTCTTCTAGAGGTCCTGAGTTCAATTCTCAGCAATTACATGGTGGCTCACAACCATCTATAATAGTATCTGATGCACTCTTCTGTCATGCAGGCATACATGCCAATAGGGCACTCATATACAAAGATGAATAAATCTTTAAAGAAAATAAAGCAGAATTCTCCAAAAACTTAACATAATTCATCATATCAATAGGCTAAAGAGAACGGAGACTGCCTGTGGCAATGTCATTTATAGAGACAGGAACTAGAGCACAACTAGCTATCTACCAACAAGGGGGAGGGGCAGTCTGAATAAATCACAGCAAAGTAAGTAAGAATATACAGCTACAATACAATGATGCTTCATTCTGTACAACCACAAGAAAACATCCATGTGGTAGTTAAGAACTGAGATTTAGGGTAAAGGATATGGTGTCATTTTTACAAACCAGAGTAGACACATTTATAGGTTCACAGGTTTGCCCAAGTATCACACCATCAGAAGTGCAGACCCCTGGGCTACCAGTGGCAAAGGAGGAGCTAGGACTGAGTGACAGCAGAGGAGGGAAGGGGGGTGTGGCTTCTCCTCTGAATCTGTCTGACTGACACCACAGATCTGAGGCTTCAAAAGTCTGTAAGAGGGTCTTGGGGAGCAGGTAAGAAAGTGTGGATTCCCATCCGGAAAGCTGCCTGCTACATAATAGTGAGCTAAGATTGTGTAGTAATCCTTGCAATTACTATAAGTAACTACTACAGTAATTACCATAAGTAACTCTACTTTCAGGGTACCCAACACCCTCTTCTGCCCTCCAGGGGATGTGCATGCACATGGCGCACCCAAACTCATGCAGGCACTCACACCTGTATACTCATAAAAACAATAGATAAATATTTTAAAAGATTATATCAACGCTGACTTAATATGTCACTAGTACCGGCTTGGGAAACCTAACCATACATAAATAGTTACACAGATTAACATGTCCACGCACCTTACTTCTTCAGAAGAGTTCATATTTTCTCCGTAAAGAAGTAAAATAAGTCCTTCTTCCACAGAAGCAATTCTTGCCAAAATATCAGCTATGTGAATTAAAGCTGTTTCGGAATAATCTGGAGCAGCCTGCACATTAAAAAAAAAAAAAAAAAGACAAGACAAGTCATATAGTTTTATGATGCGGCAGGGGAGGTACATAGTCTAATAAAGTTATACGGTTGCCACAACAACAGAGACCTTAATGACTTCTGCTTGTGAAACAATATGTCTGAGTCAAATGTGTCATTAGACTCTATGTTTTTACCAGCGGAGCTGATGAGGCAAATAAATCCATGATTTTCACCTAAGCCAGCTACTGTGAATCACTGCCTCTATTACAGCTTCATGGATCATCCTGGATACCAAATGCTATGGCTCCCTTCCCACCTGCAGTGTCTTTTCTTTTCAGTTAGGACATTCCTAAAGATTTATCATGATACATATGGTGTCTAATGCACTATGATTTTGTCATATTGGTATAATCCCCTTATATAACTAACTAGGTAAAGATTGACTACTCAGCATAGACTGTATATGGAAACTCTGTCCCAAGGGGGAAAAATCATATGTATGTGAGTATGTGTGTGTATGTGTGTGTGTGTGTACACGTGTGTGTTTGTATATACATATGTATGTATGCATGTATGTGTGTATATGAGTGTGTTTATGGATGTATATATGTGTGTGTATTGTGTGTATATATGCACACAGAAAATATAGAGATGTAGACACACACACACACACACACATACACACACACACACACACACACACACACCGGACTACCCAGCCAACTGTTATAGGTAATCTATTTTCATATAAACTACTTTTCTTTAAACTTCTACATAGAACGTGTTCCTTCTCTCATATATATTAATGTAATGTTATATCTGTGCCCAAATATTCTGTCATGCATACAGTTTTGCTTTAGAAGTTTCTGTTGCTCATGTTAAATATCTGCTGTTTAGACAGTGATGAGAGCAGTCTTCTTACAGGCATGCCTTACTGTCTTCTGGATTGGTAATAACCAAAACTTAGCACTGCCAGAGCAGGGGCTCAATGTCTTAACTTAGGTACTAGATGTCTAACTTTGTATCAGTGGCCTAGTCTACACTCAAGAAAGACAACTCAAAACCAGCAAGATGGCACACAGGGTAAGAGCGTTTGCCATCGAGCCTGATGACCTGAGATCAAATCCCTGGGTCCCATGTAGTGGAAAAAGAAAAGGGTTGCACAAGTGGTCACCTGATCTCTACATGTGAACATAGCATGTGAATTCACTCCCAAATGAACAGACGGAAGGACGGATGGATGCATGGATAAATGTAGTACCAAAAAATGCAAATAATCATTTCAACACAAGGACAACTATAGAAGAACATAACACAGGAATGCAGAGAAGAGAAGAAAACACCTTAGTCTGCACAGGAGGCATGTATTCAAGCACAGCAGGTTTCATTCAGGGAGGGGACACTTGAAAAAACAGAATGAGCATACCATAACTTTGTTTAGAAAATGTAAACAATATACATACACAGACAATTTGGTAAATGCAAAGTTAAAACCAGTGACATTTATACAGCAAGCAACAATCAATGAAGTATTTTATAACCCAATGAAGTGTGGCCCAGGAGGGCAAAGAAACAGGTAAAGATCCTGCAAAGCAGATAATAGACATGAACCTCCTCGTGTACTCTAAGTCACCGACAAGAAGTCTAAGTCAGAGAAGTGTAGAGCTTTGTTGGACACAGGGCTATCCTGGTGAGGACACCAGCTTCACCAGGTATTGGGTGTCCGGCATGGGCAGGTGCTTCCCACAGCCTCAGTTTACTCTTTGGTGAAATTCTCTAGCATAAGGAAGTACACAGTGTGAGCTGTGAAGACAGCGTGGTTGTTCTCATCAGCTCTGAGAGCACACAGTGTGAGCTGTGAAGACAGCGTGAGGAGCACACAGTGTGACTGTGAAGACAGTGTGGCTGTTCTCATCAGCTCTGAGAGCTCACAGTGTGACTGTGAAGACAGCGTGAGAGCACACAGTGTGAGCTGTGAAGACAGCGTGGCTGTTCTCATCAGCTCTCAGAGCACACAGTGTGAACCATGAAGACAGCGTGGCTGTGGCTGTTCTCATCATCTCTGAGAGCACACAGTGTGACTGTGAAGACAGCGTGAGAGCACACAGTGTGACTGTGAAGACAGCGTGAGAGCACACAGTGTGACCGTGAAGACAGTGTGAACTGTTCTCATCAGCTCTGAGAGCACACAGTGTGACTGTGAAGACAGCGTGAGAGCACACAGTGTGAACCGTGAAGACAGTGTGAACTGTTTAGCCCTTGGGCTACACACGCCTTCTTTCTCACACTAGTTCTTCCTACTTTGCAGACTTGGCTCTTCGGGAAAATAATCATATTTCCAAAAGCTATAAAACTGTCGTTAAAATACTTAAGACATTCACAAGATTTATTACAGTCACAAGGCAAATAGCTTCTTAATAGAATAACTTTTTCCTAAGTTTTTCACATCAACAGATCTAAGTTTGATTGGAAAAAAAAATAAGATGTAGTAGTATGTGCAATCCCGCCTCCTGTCATAACTAATACATCAAATAACTGTACAAACTATGATTTAACAAATAAGGATCCATATGAGCAAAACAATTCATATAATAAAACATCTCCACCACGTCAGAAATAAAGATCCACCGAATATGAACCTATACTAGTCATTGAAGAGGTTCCTTTCCTTGTTGGTGACACCCACCGCAGTTCCTTTCATCAAGTTGTGAATGGGCTGGAGAAGTGCCTCTGTCACTGTGCTGTTGTATAAGCACTCAACAGCACACTCTTTCTGGTCACAGAGGATCCGCAAGATGTCAGTCACCATACTTGCAGGAGAATAATTCTCTGAGAAACAGAAAAAAAAAAAAAAGGTGAACGTCAAAACACTGCCTTAGAACTGCTTTTCACTGTGTATGATCTACCATTCCACAAAGTTCACAGGAAATCTAGTTGACCTAAAAATCATACATGGAAAGCTCAGAAGATGACAACTACAGCCTGAAACTTAAACTTACCATCTCAATCAGCTTACTATCTCTTCAGTCTAATACAAAAAAAGATGACAAAAGACAATATAACATTCTTCAGTTAGACACTAAATGAAACATTGATACTGAAGAAGATATGGCTGAAAGAAGAATCAACTTTTTGCTTCCAAGAAAACAAATTCACTATATTCACTTTTGTTCATTTTTGTGATGCACTCAGGTATATGAGCTTAGCAGGAAATTAAAGCATGTAGATAAAACTATGAGCAGAAAGAAGCCAAACAGAACTGACACTTCCAGAAGGCACTATTCCAAAGGGCAGGGAAAACAGGGAGTTCCTCCTTGAAAACCGACCTAGAAAGCCAAAAGTGTGCAAACTGTGACATGGTTGGAATGGCCACTGAAATAAATGGGATGTTTTAATATTAGAGGGTTAATCAAACCTCCTCACATGAATGTGATATGAGTGGCCTAGAAAGAAACAGTACAAAACTATCAGGGTTTTTAATTCATGTTACAGTAGTCTTCATTCCATAAGCATGCTAAGTTCATAAGTGAACCTCAACAAAAAGGATTTAGCAATTTCTTTTTAAATCAGTTCCAGATGAGAAACCCTGTTTCCAATGGCAAACACTATCTACTAGCACATAGCTTATTCACATGATCAAGTAAATGCCTACTGAACAACGCACCAAGCATTGCAGTGTGAGAAGACAGATAGTCAACTAAACACTAAGCCAAACTACTGATTGTTTTTTAACAAGGAAAGATCATTTTGATTATAAGTGATGCTGTGCAAGCATATAGCAGGGGACTTCAGCTAGCATACCATTTGTGTAGATGCTGTAAAAACAAAAGAGGGTCTTGGAGCCCAATTAAGAGCAGTAAACTATGATAACCACACAGACAGAAAATACCTACTGGCTAATACAAATATTCTCTGACTAATATGTAGGCCAACCCATTTTTTGTCTTACTTACTCCAGTTGTTCTCAGAATTTGTTCTAGCATTTCCAACCTATTTCCCAATTTTAGAAGACCATGGTCTAGATTTTTATTTCTGCTATTGTGTTTCACCTTGAAGATTTTTATTGATATACAAAGGAAAGTAGAAGTTATTTTAAATAGTAATAATTTGACCATTTTTACAAGTTGGTCAATATACAATTTTGCAATATACAATATTGTAAATGGCAATTTACAATAAAACATGAAGGGTTTTTCTTTTTCTTTACATTTAACAAAAAAAATCCTGGAATGACTTAAATTTAGATTTGAGCCATGTGATTGTGCCTTAATTCTTCCCTCATGAAGTAAGAAAGCATTTCATTTATTTTTGACTTGAAAGGAGTCCATAGTTGAGTGACTCGGAATTTTGAAAGATTTGGGATTTTAAAAGACATCCACTATATTAAGACTGAATATTTTAAATTTTTAAACTTTCTTTGTATTTATTCTTTGTGTCTTCACATCATTCATCTCAATCCCATTCATTCCCCATCCCTTTGTACCTACCCTCTGCCCTTGCAAGCCCCCAAAAATAAAATAAAGTTTAAGATGAAAAAAGAAGAACAAAGGGGGAAATATCTCATCACAGACAGTGCAGCATGACATAAATGAGTCACACAGTAAACCCTTTTATCCATGTATCTTAAAGTGCAAGCATTCATTGCAAACAGTCATTGGTCTGCTTCCAGGACTCTGGTTTCTCCTACACTATAGATGTTGAGCACCCAATGGGGTTCCTCTCGGATATTCTACTGTTGCCCTGTGTCATGGACATCCTGCAGCTTTGGGTCTGTAGGACAAGACATTCTGCATGCTCCAGCAGATTGTAGATGAGGTGGATGTTGGGGTGGATCAACTCATAACCCTGGTTCTGGGCCAAGATAGTTACAGTGTTGTTCAGTCTGCCAGATCCCCCCCCCAACCCACCCAATCATCCCCCAAAACTACCGGGTGAGTTCTCCAGCACTACCCTGGCTAGTTCACCCTTGCAGGGATGAGCAAGATGTGGGGCGAGTTTTCCTTTTTCATGTCCTCAGGGTTGGCTTTCCCACACCTACATCTTTAGGGCTACCTCTACTGTGTTGCCCAGGCCAGGTGTAGGGGCCACTCTCCCAAGTGCTGCATGATGAGGGAAGCGACTGAATTTTTAAGTGTCTGAATTTTTAAAGACAGTGGGACTTTTAAAATTTGGAATATTATATACTGTGATATTCCTACTAATGTTAGATCTTGGGGATGAATGAGAAAGGAAAGGTTGTAGTTTAATAGTGATGTGTTTGTGTGTCAAGTAGACAAAGGGTCAGTTGTGCTAGCTGGGTTTATATCAACTTGACACAAGCTAGAGTTACTTGAGAAGAGGGAACCTTAACTGGGGAAATGCTTCAAGAAGATCAGCCTATAGAGAGGACTATAGACCATTTTCTAATTCAATTGATGTGGGAAGGTCCAGGCAATTGTGGGTGGGGCCAGCACTGGGCAGATGGTTCTGGGTTCTATAAGAAAGTAGGCTGTCTGAGACCCCACCTTCTGGAATGCCCAGCTTCAGGTGAGCTCCAGTCCTTCTGGGACCCCTCCCACACCCATCTCATACTCCCTCAATCTTCCAGGCTGGCCTGCACCTGGCATGGAGAGCACCCACCCACACAGGAAAGGCATCAGTCCTTCCACACCCTACCCCCAGAAAGCCCAACTTCAGGTGAACTTAGGTCCTCTTAGGGACCCCTTCCCTGTCCATCACCCACTCCCACAATCTTCCAGAGGCTTCTCCAGGCATTGAGAAGACCTGCCCACACAAGAAAGACATCAGTCCTCAAGGACCCAACCCGCAGCTCTCCCCACACCTGCACGCCCAGTCCCAGGAGACCTTGGGTCCTCCTGGGACTCCTCCCTGGACCACCACCCACTCCTTCAATCTTCTGGGCTGCTCCTGGCATCAAGAAGACCCGCCCACACAGGAAAGTCATAAGCCATTCCAGACCCTACCCTCCAACGTGCCCAGCTTCAGGATAGATGTCAGTCCTTCCAGACCCCACCCTCCAGTTTGCACAGCTTCAGCTTCGGGAAAGGAGACCAGAGAAGAAGGAAAGACCCCACCTGCACAACCTGGAAGAAGAGACGGGAAGAAGACTGAATAGGATTAAGAACTCATTCAGCAATAGAAAGACTAACATGAATCCACCAGAATCTAGAGACCCCACACCAGCAAGACCTGAAAAGCACAACTTAGATGAAGCAGAAGAGACAGACCTTAAAAATTATTTTCTGAAGATGATAGAGAGCCTCAAAGAGGAAATGAGGAAATTCCTTAAAGAAATGGAAAAAAAAATACATGAAATGGAGGAAAAGACGAACCAAAAAATTCAAGAAATGAACAAATCTCTTAAAGAATCTAAAGAGTACCAAGAAAAAACGACCAAACAAATGAAGGAAACAACTCAAACAGTTGAAGCTAAAATAGAAACAATAAAGAAAATACAGGATGAGGGGATGCTGGAAACAAAAAAGCTAGGTAAACGATCAGGAACTACAAATGCAAGCAGCACCAACAGAATACAAGAGATGGAAGAGAGAATCTCAGGTGTTGAAGAGAAGCTTCTGTAAGGCAAAGGACACAGTCAACAAGACAAAAAGGCAGTCCACAGAATGGGAAAAAATATTCACTAACCCCACATCTGACAGAGGGCTAATCTCCAAAATTTACAAACAACTCAAGAAGCAAGTCTCCAAAACACCAAATGATGCAATTAAAAAGTGGGGTACAGAACTAAATAGAGAATTCTCAATAGTGAAGTCTAAAATGACTGAGAGACACTTGAGAAAGAGCTCAACATCCTTAGCCATCAAGGAAATGCAAATCAAAACAAGTCTGAGATACCATCTTACTCCTGTCAGAATGGCTAAAATAAACAACACCAATGACAGTTTATGCTGGAGAGGATGTGGAGAAAGGGGAACACTACTCCACTGCCGGTGGGAGTGGCAACTCTTACAGCCACTTAGGAAATCAGTATCGAGATTCTTCAGCAAAATGGGAATCAATCTACCACAAGATTCAGCAATTCCACTCTTAGGCATATATCCAAAAGATGCAAATTCATACAACAAGGATGTCTGTTCCACTATGTTCATAGCAGCATTATTTGTAATAGCCAGAACCTGGAAGCAACCTAGATGCCCCTCAGGTAAAGAGTGGATAAAGGAAAGGTGGTACATTTACACAATGGAGTACTACTCAGTGGAAAAAAACACTGGAATCTTGAAATTTGCAGGCAAATGGATGGCACTAGAAGAAACCATCCTGAGTGAGGTAACCCAGTCACAAAAAGACAAACATGGTATACTCACTCATATATGGATTTTAGACATGGATCAGGGGAGTACCAGTCTGTAATTCCACTGACAGAAATTCCATTGCAATTCTACTGGGAAACAGGAAAGAACCTAAGAGAGATATGCATAGTACCCCAGAGAAGAAGAATGAGGCAGGATCTCCTGAACAATTTGGGAACATGGCAGGGGGTGGGGAAAAGTTGGAGCTGGGAAGAAGAGAGAAGAGGAGATAGTAGGTCATGGGGGAACAGGAAGGTTGAGTTGGGGGTAGAATAGGGGGAGAGCAGGATGAGAAATACCATAATAGAAGGAGTCACAGGTTTTAAGAGAGATCTGGCACCAGTGAGACCTCTAGTGATCTACAAGGATGACCCAACTGGGAAGCTAAGCAATAGTGGAGAGACTACCATAAATGCCCATTCCTGATAATTAACTTGACCCTATATGTCATCCTAGAACCTTCATCCAGTGACTGATGGAAGCAGAGGCGAATACCCACAACTAAACACTGAACTGAACCCCTGGGACCCAGTGACAGAGAGAGAGGAGCGATGAGCAAATGAGCTAAGAATGGGCTGGCGAAACCAGCAGAGACAGCTGACCTGAATAAGCGGGAGCTCTTGGATCCCATACCGACAGCTGGTGGGCCAGCATGAGACTGATCCAGACCCCTGAGTGTGAGAATCAGTAAGGAGACCTGGGCAACCTATGGGGCCCTGGGCAGTAGATCAGTATTTATCCCTGGCATACAAATGGACTTTGTGTGACCATAACACAAAGAGGCATGCTCTCTCAGCCTGGATGTTTGGGGGAGGATCTGGACCCTGCCCTGAGCGAAATGACAGACTCTGGATATCCCCTATGCGGAAGGAAGTGGGAATAGGGTGGGAGGCTGAGCGGGTGGTAGGGGAGTGCAGGAGGAGGGGAGAGAGAGGGAACTGGGATTGACATGTGAAGCAAGATCTTTTCTAAAAAAAAAGTAATAAAAATATTTTTAAAATTTAAAAAAATAATGAAAGGAGAAAAAAAAAAGACAGCAGGCTGAGCAAGCCAGTAAGCAGCACCCCTCCACGGCCTCTGCATCAGCTCCTGCCTCCAGGTTCCTGTTTGAGTTCCTGTCCTGACTTCCTTTGATGATGAACATTGACATGAAAGTGTAAGCCAAACAAACTCTTCCCGCCACAAATTGCTTTGGTCATAGTGTTTCATCACCAAAAAAGCAACCTGAAGTAAGACAAACCAAAACAGACAAGGCAAAGAAAACATCTTGAAAGCACAAAGAGCATAAAATAACAAAATGGGAATACATCTATCAATCAAATTTCTCTTGATATCACTTTGAGAATATTGATATTAAGAAAACAATAAAATTCTCAGTCAAACCGACTCTAAATTAAAACATTAACACATTATAACTATCTTAAAACATCTATGAAGAAAATCAAATTCCACGGCTTACTTCAGAACCAATGCAATGTCTTACATGTGTAAGGAATCTTAATAAACCTATTTACCAAAATTGATAAGTAACTCAAAAAGAGAACTTTCTAATGTTTTGAATGTTTCTTTCCCTCTATTTAAAAGAGATGCATCATTTCCAGTACTAATTAATCAATCAGTCAATCTGATTGATTTAGGGAGGGGGGGGCATTTACCTGAATATGCAACTGATGTCATCTTTGGACAGCTTGGTGAATAATAGATGAGTTGAGTAAACAAAACCAGCAGATTTGTGACAGACACGGACTCTTTACAAAAGAAAAAAAGAAGTGATTTGTAAAATGCTTACAACCTAAAAAACATTTACCTACATCCACTCTCCTGAAAGATTGCATCACAGTTTCTATGTGAACCCAGGCAGAAGAGAGCTATGATCCCACACACATTACTCCAGAATAGAATGCAGTCAGAAGAGCTCCTGCCCCACTGTCTTGCTTTGCTAAACACAGTTCTGACATCTGTTTGGAGATGATCATTGAAATCCACAACAGATGCACGAGTCTCACCATTGGCTATTTGAGTTAATTCAACTATGATAAGTAAAATTCAGCTTAATATGTTGGTTCAGCTAACTTTTTTAGCACAGTAGAACAAGGTCAGCATTTTTTTCCATGAAATTCTTCCTTGAAGTTGTTACAACAACTTCAGCTTTGTGTCCAAATCCTCTCAATCACAAGCACTCAAGTTGACTACTGTAGCATGCGGTGGCCATACACAATCAACAAATAAATGAATAGTGTAAGCCATGAGTACTGAGAATTCATATTTTCCACAAGCCACAAAATAGTCTATTTTTTAATAGTTAAAAGACATTCCTGGCTCACAAGCATGCAGAGCAGATGGCAGGCCAGGTTTGGCCCACAGGCTACAGTTTACCGAGACCTGCTATAGAAGCTTTCATTAAAACATTCTGGGAAAAAAAAAACTATGTAATTTAAAGTTGATTGCTGGTCTCTGTTATTCTCAAACTCAGTTTTGAAATGAGCTGGGATTCTTGATAGAGAGAAATATAATCATTAAAAGAACATAAACTGCTAAATTTATAATAGTTGAGAAGCATGTAAAGCTAAGTTGAATACCTACAAAAATATCAAGGATAGTCACTAGTTTTTCTAGTTCTGTAAAAGCCAGCAATATCATATGAAATACTCCTTCTGTAATTTAAGAGCTCATATTGTCCCCACACTATTTTAAACTATATGACATAGCCTTGAACATTGTATGAGAAGTACATAATGCCCTGTCTGTTCTCAAAGAGCTCAAATAGATTAGGGCAAATAAAACAACTGGACAAGAGGTTTCATGACAAATAGACTCTGTAACAGCATCAATAAACTAGAGTTCGCATGACCAGATTCTGTAAGGTTAACAAGCTAAGGATGGATTTTCCACTATTAAAATGCGTCAGGGGTCCCAAAAACCACATTCAGATTTGATTGAGTTGTTAGACCCACAGACCCCAAACAATCATGTTCACATGACACATTACAATAAAACTATGCAAAGCAAAATCAAAAAGAAATTCAGAGCAAACCAGGCACAACCTTGTGAGGGTCTCTCCCAGGGGAACCATGCAGAATGCATTTAATCCCTCCAGAAAACCTCACTAGGGATGCAGTGATGCAGGTTCTTATGGGGAGGAGGGTGAGCACATATACACCCTCTGCCTGTACATGTCAATAATTCAAACTCCCAAAAGCAAACCTGGTGTTCAGCATAAACAGCAATGCTGTACAAAGAGTTTAGGTGCCGGGGGTAGTATACAAACAATTTAAGCACCCTCACCAGTGCTGGGTGGGACTAGCATGAGTCCAACTCCCCATATGCCTTGCATGCCTTGCAAACAAGCCATTCTAAGGAAAGCAGTCAGGGGCATACTGTGCTAACTTTCTTGCATGACCAGAAACACACCATATTATCCACCAAGGCCATAATATTTACTGTCACTTTTCAGAAGGTTAGCTGAACTCTGCTCTATACTGTGTTCCTAATACAGACAGAATGTCTTAGAGGAATTGAAGATAACTGATCTCAATTTGCTAAATTAAACGAGACAGAGTAAAAACAATATAATAATATATGATATGCTACTCTCCCCAACACCATCTTATGTTCTGGCTGTTCTGTGTCAATTTGATACAAGCTAGAAAATCATTTGAGAGGACAGAAACGTGGGTGAGAAAATGCCCTTCATATGATCAGGCTGTAGGCAAGAGTATAAGGCATTTTCTTAATTAGTGATCAATGCAGGAGGGCCCAACCCATTGCGAGTGGGGCCATCCCTGAATTGGTGATCCTGGGTTCCCTAAGAAAGCAGGTTGAGCAAGCCAGGAGAGCAAGCCAGTAAGCAGCATCCCTCCATGGCCTCTGCATCAGCTCCTGCCTCCAGGATGCTGCCCTGAGTTCCTGCCATGGTTTCCTCAGTGATGGACTTAGACGCTGTAAAATGAAATAAACCCTTTCCTCCCTAAGTTGCTTTTGGTCATGGTATTTTATCACAGCAACAGAAAACTGAACTAAGTCAGAAATTCCCAAGTTGTCATATTAATATCTCAGTATAAAGCTTAATGTAACTTTTAGAGTTCCACAGATTTTAAAAATTCAAAAAGTTTAAAAGTTTAGTCTCTTTAAGATATGCAACATTCCTAAAATATCCAGTCTCTCTATAATATCTGCTGTCCCTCTAAAATGTCCAATATCTCTGTAAAATTCCTAAGTCTAAAATTCAAAAGTCTCTCTACTGTAGACTCCTATTGTAAGGATTCAGGCATTATGCTGGCCTGCCCCTGTCACCTGGCAGAATACACTCAGGCAGTACCCTGGTCAGTCCAGGTGCAAAGGACCCCTACAAAAAAAAAGACCCCCGCCCACTTATGCTCTCTTTCCCGCTGTTCTCCTGGGGAAGACAGGACTTTTCCTGTCTCCCTCTTCTCTTCTGTCCTCTCTCTGTCTCTGTGTCTCTTTACCTCTTTTCTCTTTCCTTCCCCCTCCCTCCCCTTTCTAATAAAACTTCTCACAAAGCTCTGTCTGGCATGTTTGTTCCCCTGCCTCGGTCACCCTCGCCTGCCATGGAATCCGCCGAGGTTCCCCTTGAGCTTTATCATACCACCTATAAAATGTGTCATACTTTCTTACTGAGGACACAGTGACAGTCAAATCAAAGCACAACAAACGTTCAGTGGTGTAAAAATTTCGGTGTTTGATGCAGGGGACCCAGTCACAGTCCTCTGACTCCAAGGGGCTCCATTTGGCCAGCTCTGCTATGCACATCACAAAAAGCTTGTCTTGGAGGCTCAGAATGGCTCACTCCACAGCTGCTGCTATCCTTGGTGGTAGCACCCTGGTACTAGTCTCTCAAAATACTAGTCTCTCCTGCGACTTTGACCCTGCCATTTGGTGATACCCACCATCTTAGGGCTTCTACTATAATTAACGCGCATCTTCACCAATGGCTTCTCCTATACTCTCACATGCCAAGCCTTGCTTGCTCTCCATGACCTGGTCTTGCCCTGAAAACCTGTCAGTACCCAGCTAACTCCTCCTCATTACCAAGTTCGGCTGCCAGCACACGGAACAGCTTTGGCCACGTCTGGACCACAGCTTCTGTGTGCTGACCCTGAGGAAACACTTCCTCAGAAGATTTTGCCTCACTGCTTCTGTTGTCTTCTAAATGCAGCTGATTCTTCAGTCCTAGGTGACCAGCAGAGCAAAGGTTTCTCTTTAATGATTGTTAATTCACGCTATCAGTCAAACTGCCCCAGTAGAATCATTAAGGAATTCTGCAACATCCCTCTGAAACTTTACAAGCTAGGCCTCCATTATCTGTTCTCAACATTCTTAACATCTAAATACCCACAGAAGAGCCCACAGAGCTTTGAGCATTCAATGGCCTTTCAAGCCCAAAGTCAGTCCACAATCCTCATGCAAACAATATGGCCAGGTCTGTCACAGCAATACTCCACAATCTAGTACCAATTTCTGGCTCAGTCTGGTTTTCTGTTGCTGTAATGAAACACCATAAATCAAAAGCAACTTGGGGAGGAAAGGGTTTATTTCATTTTAAAGCGTCTAAGTCCATCACTGAGGAAACCATGGCAGGAACTCAGGGCAGCATCCTGGAGGCAGGAGCTGATGCAGAGGCCATGGAGGGATGCTGCTTACTGGCTTGCTCTCCTGGCTGGCTCAACCTGCTTTCTTACAGACAAGAGCACCAGGCTTGCTCCTCACACAACCATCACTAATTAAGAAAATGCCTTACAGGCTTGTCTGCAGTCTGCTCTTACAGAGGCATTCGCTCAGCTGAGGTTCTCTCCTCTCAGATGACTCTATCTTGTGTCAAGGTGACACGAGAGAAGGGGGGGAGGAAAGAGAGAAACTATTGAGCACATTCACGTCCTAGCATCACAAAATTTCATCATCATTGATATAATGACTCAATTTTTACAAGCTGAAAAAAAAGCACAAGATGAGAGGTTTCCCCAAAATGTCACAATCTGTAGGCTAGCCAGAATTTTTTAAAAGACCTTCTAGTTTTATATTCAGAATTGAATTACCAAGTATGTCTAGCCTAGGGTTCTCAAAAGAGAAATATGAAAATAATTAAATACATATACAGTAATAAGCATACACTGAAACTGAAAAAACAAATAAAGACAGAAAGAAAAAATTCTCAACAGTACATATGGCTAAAAGGTATGTAGCTAACTGCCTATGCTGGTGAGTTTCTTTTGTAGACATAATACAATCTAGAACCACCTGGGAGTCTCTGCCAGATTGCCTATGTGAAAGCCTATAGCATATTTTATTACTTAATGATTGATGGGGGAGGACACAGGCCACTGTGGGTGGTGCCACTCCTGGGGAAGCAGTCCTGGGGTGTATAAGAAAGCAGAATGAACAAGCCACGGGACACAAAGCCAGTTAAGTGGCACTCCTCCGTGGCCTCTGCTTTAGGTTTCCTTATTGAATTCTCCAGGTCTCTATACTGAACTCCTTGTCTAATTTCCCTTCGTCGTAGAGTATAAAAGGTAAGATGAAATAAAGCCTCTCCCCCTCACGCTGCTTTTGGTCACAGTTATTTTATCACATCAATGAAGAGCCATATGATGCCAAGCAGGTACTAGGGTGGTTTGAATAAGCATCGCCCCATGGTCTCATAGATCTAATGCCTAGTCATCAAGGAATGAATGGCTCTACTTGAGAAAGATTAGGAGGTGTGGCCTTGTTGGAATGGGTGTGGCCTTGTGGGAGGAAGGGTGTCACCAGGGCTGGGTTTTGAGATTTTAAAAGTCTGATCCAGCCAAGCCCGTTGTCTCTCTCTTCCTGCTGCCTATTTGGATGCTTCTCCAGCATGATGTCTGGCTGCATGTCACCATGCCCCCAGCCATGATGATAATGAACTAAACCTCTGAAACTTTAGCAATCTCCAATTAAATGCTTTCTTGTATAAGAGTTGCTGTGGCCATGGTGTCTCTCTTCACAGCAATAGAACAATGACTATGACAAATACTAAGTCAAATTTATAAATAGGAATCTGTGTACTGTAAATTGTATTATACCTTTACCTACTCATTTATCCTAATCACACTTACCTTTTCTACTCTTCAGCTTTATGGGAAATAATTTTCTGCCTTGTGTATAGATCAACAATCTCCCCAAAAGGCACAGTGAGTGAATGAAATAAATATATTGCAGCTCTTGTCCTGAGTAGTAGAAATTTTTTTGCTTGTTTCCTTAAAAGAGAAGCAAAAAAAATTATCACTTATTTTAATAACATTTTATTTTACAATACTTGTCTTCAACCCCTCCTGACATGGTATCATCTATATTGGAGAAACTGTTGATATAAACTTGTAATATTTATTTCCTTAATATTTGAAATAGCCTTTTACAGTAGATCTGAGGGGGAGTAGTCATTATAAAATTAGTAACCACTGTTGCTGGTGTTCAATCTAAAAATACCATCATACTGCCAAAGTTACTCATCACCAAAGACAGACTTTAAAAATAAAGAGGGATGGAAAAAGAAGTCAATAAAAAATTACTTAATTTTTACCACTATTTTGGTCTTAACTGTCAACTTAACACAACCTAGAAACCCTTAGGCAGAGAGTCTTAATGAGAAATATCTAGATCAGGTTGGCATGCGGGCATGTCCGTGGGAAATCATTTGGATTGCTAATTGATATACAAAAACTCTAGTCATAGTAGGTGGTAGGATTCTCTAGGCAGGGGTCCAGAACAATAGAAAAAGAGTGAGCTGAGAGCAAGTGAGCATAGATATGTTTTTATTCTATCTCTGTTATTAACTGTGGATGTGATGTTTTAAGTTCTTGCCTTGATGTACCCCATAATTGTGGACTGCAAGCTGGACTTGTCAGCCAAATAAACTTTCTTCCCATCTGCTGCTTTTCATCCCAGTTACAGAAATAAAACTGGTGCAACCACATAAAAAGGCAACACAGATAAAGTCTATGGACATGTTCCAATATTCAATAAACACTAAAGTTCATTTAGCATAGTTCGGGTTCCAAGCATTTTGGATAAGGGATATTCAGCTTGTACTATATACAGTAGGCCATACTGATTACAACCATGTTTGCAGTTAAAATTAGAATATCTAAAATAGCCATTCATTCATTTATCCATCACTCATGTTCAAGGTATATTGAGAAGCAATTTTACAAGATCCTAATCCATTCACTGATATTTAGAACTGTTCAGAAGGGGTAGGGAGATAGCTTAGTCAATGACTGCTTACCTTGAAAGAACAAGGACTTGAATTTCATCCCCAGAATACATTAAAAACATATCAAAAAGCATAGTGGCACATGCTTATAATCCAAGCTCAGAGAAAGTGAAGACAGTATGCTCTTGAGGCTCTTGGTCCAGCAAGTTGCAAATTAGTAAGAGGCCCTGCCATAAGAAAGGCAGGTAGTGCCGGGCAGTGGTGGCGCACGCCTTTAATCCCAGCACTCGGGAGGCAGAGGCAGGCGGATCTCTGTGAGTTGGAGGCCAGGCTGGACCGATAGCCTCCAAAACAACACAGAGAAACCCTGTCTCATAAAAACCAAAAAAAAAAAAAAAAAAAAAAGGCAGGTAGTTTCCAAGGAATGACACATGCACATCACCCTCACACATGTATACCCACACCAAGTCACATAAACATGCATACATGTACACATATATACATATATGCATATACATATATATGTGTGTGTGTATATATATATACACAAACCAAACAGACTCTTGATGGGTAATAGTCTTCTGTGTATATGTTTGTCTTATTGGTTGATGAATAAAGCACTGTTGACAAATAGGGAAGCAAGACAGGTGGGACTAGGAGAGGTGGAGGATTCTGGGAAACGAAGACACAGTCAGTCACCATGTAGGATGCAAGAGGAGTAAGAGGTCTGGCTCCTTTCTCCGGTAAGAGAAGACCACGTGGAAACACTCAGCAGTTACGTGTTGATTATTAAGTGAGAGCTAGCCAACAAGAAACCATAGTGAATGACCAACAGCTTCATAATTAATATAGCATCCCGAGTGTTCATTTGGCACTGACGCAGCTCTGGGATGAGGCTGGCGGGAAGAATGCTCATTACAGACACATACACAGACACACATACACACCTACATACAAACACCCTGTAAACTACTGTACGTAGAATGAAACTTGCTTTTCCATTCAGTGTTTGATAACAGCAGTGTACAATAAGAGCACCAGAGGACAAGTGGGAGAGCTATGAAGATAAAAGTAATAGTTCATAGCGGAGTTAGGCTCAGAAGGAATTTTAACTCTATGACAGAGGCCATGAGGAAGGTATTAGAAAGATTTTAGGAAGACAGATGCAATCAAGCATGAATTGTCAAGAATGGACTTTGATGACAGTACGGGCAAAGTTGCTGAAACAAGGTCAACTCTGACATAAGAAACTCCATTTCAAACTTATGAACTAGAGGCTAAAGAAATGACTCAGTGGTTAAGGGCACATATTATTCTTACAAGTTCAGTTGCCAGCACCCATGTTAGGAGACTCACAACCGCCTGTATTCCAGGCCCACAGGACCAGATGACCTCTTCTGGCCTCCACAGGCAACTGCACTAACATGCACATACCCCCATAAAAACACATAAGGGTTCTCTCTAGGAGCTCCTGGCCTGGGGACTGCAGTCAGGGCAAATGGCCCCAGATGACCAAGCAACCAGGAGCCTGCAGAGAGAGCCAGTCTATTCTGGCCCACACTAAGGGCAGAGGGCATAGGTGAGCTTCAGCCCCCATCTTAGATCCGAATTCCTCCCACTCACCCTCTCACGAATCTCCTGGCCTATGGACTCCAGCCAGGTCTTCTCTCCACCCCCCACCGACTACCAAGTGACCAGGAACCTGCAGAGAGAAGAGATCTGGTCTACTCCTGCACCCACTCAGGGAAAAGAGCAGAAGACAGAGAGCAGAGGATAGAGAATATTGGAGTTACTTATACCCACGGAAAGGGAGCACTGGTCACCTACCCACCAGGAGAGGAAGAGGCTCTTTCTACATACACTGGAAGAAGAGATGGGAAAGAGACAATATAATAACACACTCAGCAAAAGAAAAACAAATATGATACCACCAGAGTCTAGAGATTCAACACCAGCAAGACCTGAAAACCCCAATGCAGACAAAGCAGAAGGGAATGACCTTAAAAACACCGTCATGAAAATGATGGAAGCCCTCAAAAAGGATATGAGAAAAATCCCTTAAAGAAAAGGAAGAAAAAAAAAACCAAACAACCCAACAACTGCAAGAAATGGAGGAAAACACAGAGCAAAAATTACAAGTAACAATTCAAACAAAGCAAGGGTTGAAAGCTGAAATAGAGACAATAAAAAAACCACAGTCTAAAGAAAAACTGTGGAAATGGTCAGGTACTACAGATACAAGCATAACCAACAGAATACAAGAGATGGAAGACAGAATCTCAGGTGTTGAAGACACACTAGGAGGAAGAGATTCATTGACCAAAGAAAATATTGAGTCCAAAAAATCCCTAACACAAAATATCCAGAAAATATGGGACACCATGAAAAGACCAAACCTAAGAGTAATAGGTATAGAAGAAGGTAAAGAAACCCATCTCAAGGATGCAGAAAACATATTCAACAAAATCATAGAAGAAAACTTTCCTAACCTAAAGAAAGACATGCCAATGAAAGTACAGGAAGCTTGCAGAACACCAAATAGAGTGAACCACAAAAAAAGTCCCCTTGCTGCATAATAATCAAGACCCCAAGCATACAGAATAAAGAAAGAATACTTAGAGCAGCTAAGATAGAAGGTCAAATAACATATAAGGGCAAAACTATCAGAATTATACCTGACTTCTACATGAAAACTCTGAAAGCCAGAAGGTCCTGGATAGATATTCTATCATCACTAAGAGACCACAGATGCCAGTCCAGACAACTATACCCAGAAAAGCTTTCAATCAATATAGATGGAGAAAACAACATATTCCATGACAAACCCAGATTTAAACAATACATATCCACTAACCCATCCCTACAAAAAGTTTTGGAAGCAAAACACCAATCCAAGGAAGTTAACAACAACCAGAAAAACATAGGCAGTAGATAATCCCACATTGCCAACAGCCAAAAGAGAAAAGGGGTGGAAAACCACATACAATTCCACCAACAATAACCATTCCAAAACAAACAAGAATGAGCAATGAATGGCCATTAATATCCCTCAATATTAATGGTCTTAACTCACCCATAACAAGGCACAGGCTAACAGAATGGATGAGAAGACAGATTCCATCCTTCTGCTGCATAGAAGAAAAGCAACTCAGCTTCAAAGATAGACATTACCTCAGAGTTAAGGGTTGGGAAAAGATTTTCCAATCAAATGGAGCCAAGAAACAAGCAGGAGTAGCAATCCTAATATCTAACAAACTACACTTTAAACTGAAATCAATCAAAAGAAATGAAGGAGGTGATCTCATACTCATCACAGGAGAAATTCACCAAGATGAAGTCTCGATTCTGAACATCTATGCCCCAAACACAAAGGCATCTACATTCGTAAAAGAAACATTACTAAAACTCAAACCACACATAAAACCTCACACACTTATAATGGGAGACTTCAACACCCTCCTCTCACCACTAGACAGGACTACCACACAGAAACGTAACAAAGTAACAAAGAAACTGGGCTGGAGAGACAGCTCAGAAGTTAAGAACACTGACTGTTCTTCCAGAGGTCCTGAGTTCAATTCCCGGCAGACACATGGTGGCTCACAACCACCTTGAATGAGATCTGGTGCCCTCTGCTGGCATGCAGGCAGAAGGCTGTATACACAATAAATAAATAAAATATTAAAAAAAAGTAGTGGTATTGTTTAAAGAAAAAAAGAAATTGTTTAAAAAAAACAAATAAACTAATAGAAGTTATAACCCAACTGTGTTTGACAGACATCTACAGAACATTCCATCCAAACACAAAAGAATATACCTTCTTCTCAGTGCCACATGGAACCTTCCCAAAAATCTACCACATTCTTCGCAACATAGCAAACCTCAACAGGTACAAAAAAATTGGAATGACTCCATGTATCTTATCAGAGCACCATTCTTTAAAGTTATAATTCAACAACAACACAATTTGCAGAAACCCTACAAACTCATGGAAATTGAACAATGCGCAACTGCACGCACCACTGCTGGATCAAAGAATAAATA